CTAATCCGTGTGATGTGATCAACAAGTATTGCGTCACAACAAAATTCGAGGCCACGTGGTCGGCAGAAGAGAGCAGTGCATCAACATTCATCGTTGGACTGTATTTCGATATTCATTTTTAAACTAATCCGTGTGATGTGATCAACAGGTATTGCGTCGCAACAAATTCGAGGCCACGTGGTCGGCAGAAGAGAGCAGTGCTCCAACATCAATTGTTGGACTGTATTTCTATGCTTTTGCGTTTATACCGCTTATACGGTCCACAATTCCCGACCAATGCGAACATCGGTAGCAAGTGATATCTGAACTAATCCAGTCCCCCCCCCCATTCACCAACTGTCACTGACAAATTGTGGTGAAGTATGGTCAAGTAACCCCAACAGCGGGTGGGAGGCTCTCGTCCAGTAAGTGGATTGACAAACGAGCTGTGCACGCGCTATTTGCATGCAGAATAGCACGGTCCTTACGCACGGCATGCCCACACTGGCCAAAATATCCGGGTGTTTCAACAAAAAAATAAATCTTGCATTGTGCCTTTGTTAATACAATTGAGAAACCTTATACGGAGATTCCACAATCGGTCTTACAGCGCCCTGGGTGGAATGGAGCGATAAAAACACGTGCGTGCTCCGTTTCACGTGGAGACAAAGACAAAGATCTCCCGTGTAGCCTTCACAGACTGTTGGGGCAAGTGCTGTTAGCGAGCACCTCTAAAGGCCGGCACGGTACACACCAGGGGGTGGGTGGCAAACACCACGGCCGGCCGCCTTTGTCTCCCCAGTGGCGATGTTTACACATCTCACCGGGTATTCATTTGAGGCTGAGTCGACCTCGGGGAGGCCCAGGAACGGTTCAGATAATTTTCATCACCGGTGTTGGCCGTGAGCGAGAAACGAATCCGGCTCGCCAGGTTCGCAGCGCACTGATTGGAACGCTTCCACGAGTCCGTCATCAGATGAGATGGAGCGGGTAATGGTACTCGTTCAGAAGTCGGCAATCCGTGGCTCTTTCGTGATGTTATTTCAGTACCACCGTCTCGTGTTCACATGCATTGCGGCGTTTCAAATGTTTTGTTTTTTATTAAATCCTTTATATTAAGTTCACTTGCTTGCTTGCTTGCGTGCTTGCGTGCTTGCTTGCTTACGACCGTGCAAATCTTTCGGTCGTTTTTTAACCCACTTCCCGTGATTCAATCGAGCTGACATTTTGCACACAGACTCGTTGTGCGTGACAATTAATTTTCGTGAATTTTTTTTCCCAAAATTGTACACTGTTTAGGGATAAATAAATAAATATTTTATTACCAATTGCTTAATGGTGGCAGACAATCATCTGACTCATAGGTGGCAGCCATCTCAAGCCAGAGGACGAGAGGACTGTAGCCGCCACGCATATAAAGGATTTATAGTGAAAAACTTTGCTTTTACGGGTACATTTTTTTTACCGAATTCGAAAAAAAATCCATTCTCGTTATTTTGGGTCGTCGACCTCTGTACGAGGTGGATGGTTGCATTGTAGAAACAAGAGATGGGGACAGGCCTTCATCTAGCAGTGGCTTGATCGTGGCTGATGATGCTACTTGTGGGCATGCTTTTACTCCTGCAGGTGTTCAGCGTTCACTGCACAAGAGGTCACAGTTCATTCATTGCGGTTCAAATGACTAACAATGATTCAGAGCTTCACTTATAAACGACGATAATTAGAATTGTTGGTGCGGTGAGTGCCACTTAATTAAGAACAATACGTGACCGTGTATTATTTCCAATTTGCTCAGCTCGGGCAATGTGTAACACGAGTCACCCTTAATATAATTTTCATAACGCGTTATTTACAACATCCCAAGTTGCAACTTTGCTTAATTTATAGCACAGGATTAAACTGTGCTGTGATTGGGCCATATGCACGTGTGCCTGATACTGTACTTTGCTTAATTCTCTCGAAAATAGATTTTAACATCGTCAGATTCCTGTTAGCTAACCTGTTTTAGACAACCTCTGAAATGTAGGTGTGACACCACCAGTAGGCATCTTCTAATTTTATCCAATTGTGCAATCGGAGTTATGTTATGAGAAGAAAACAAAAACATCGCAGCTCTCGCAGAAGGCAAGTGTATCCTCCACATGAGAGCAGAGCATCTGAAAAAAAAGAGCGTCACACAAACACAGGATTTCTACACAGCGAAGATGGACCACAGCGGTGTTCATCACTACTTTTCAAAGGGGGGAGGGGCCCACTTTCGCCGATAAGACAACATCGGTGTGAGGGCTGCCACACGTTTGAAACCATTGGGGGTTGTTGACAGCAGCACGATGGTGGGGGGGGGGGGTGTCACGTGTTGTGTATTGTCGAGGGCCGCACATCAGGGGCCCACAATAAAAGCCATCATGGCCCGCAAATGGCCCGCAGGCCTTGCAATTAAGAACACTGGACTAGTGTCAGAAAACAAATTGTGATGCCCATTTATGCACATTTTTGTCATGATTCCACGGTGTGCCTTTTCACACGCGCTGCTATAAAGTTAATGAGCACCATATTTAGTCTAGATTTGAAGCTTTCGTGACTGCAAGGATTCATACTCTTAGTTCTTTCGGTAAAGTCACGTAGGTAAAAAATGAAATTAAAATTAATAAAAATAAAACAATAAAAAATAAAAATCACGACGTTTCGGAGGCAACACAAGTCTCCGTCATCAGGTGCGTCTAATCTGGCTGTGACGGTCCCACCTGATGACGGAGACTTGTGTTGCCTCCGAAACGTCGTGATTTTTATTTTTTATTGTTTTATTTGTATTAATTTTAATTTCATTTTTTACCGACGTGACTTTACCGAAAGAACTAAGAGTATATATTTAGTCTGCAGAATTGGAATACGCATTAAAAAAAGGCAACGATTGTATTTTGTGTGTGTGTGGCTAGACTGAGACGACACTTAAGAACCTTGTTTAATCACAGACATCTGCCAGAAATTAAACTCTGAATCTTCAAGTGCCGGCTCAATGCTCCGCCGAGGCGTTTGCCCCATGAGCGACTCATTTGCAGTGATCGCTGGTGATGCCGCGTATTTTAAAAATGAAGCTATTAATGAGAAGACTTCAGGTGAGGCATGGCATCTTAAACGGCAGAACAATTACATTAATTACTGTCAATTATATATTATCATGTGGTTAATTGGGTAAAAAAAAAGATATCGGAGAGCATTATTTTGTCGGCAATGCGTTTATATGCATGTGGTCATTCCACTCAGTGTACGTAATTCTCAAAATACAGAGCAACGAACATGTAGTTTATTAGTTTTCATGCAGGGCTACTGAAGGAAGACTTAACACGAAACCCTTTCCTAAGCGAGCATATTATTACAGGCAGCAAATCGCTGTGTTCAATGTACGCAGTACCCACGTTCTAAAGTTACAAAGTCGCTCACGCTGCTCGTGAAACTATTACACGTGTTTTTTTACTTGTACACAGTGCATTTGACCAATACGGTCAAGTATGGTCAAATAATCCACAGAACCTGTGCAGGGGGACCCTCATCCAGCAATGAATTGGCATGGCTGTACACGTGCAAGTGCAGCGCTTTCGTGCTCACGTATAAGGCATGCGATGGGCTATTAATCAATTTACTCATTTGGACACTGAAATTTTTTAAAATGCAAACACGCCATAACAGGAAAGAAGAAATTCATTATACGACTCAAAACTGTGATTTTAATTTCGCCTTTAAGCTTACATAGTCTGGAAAACGCCTAAAACCTCATATACACTTACAAGCAAATCTTAAACCAGCCGTGGGCTTAATGGTCACTGCGCCTCTCCCAAAATCTGGGCGTAGCTTGTATGTTCTTGTCAACGTACAGTGCTCAAGAGTAGACCCAGTACAAGACACTGTGGTGATAAACTCAGTTTTCCCTTCAGCAGGGAGATGCCAAAGCCTGATTGTGCATTTCACTGCCGTTTCTGTAACATTTCAGCACCATTTCCCCTTCGAAGCACATTTTTATACCACAAACAGGAAACACTGCATTTGCTACTGTAGGTTATAGATATTTCCCCCCGAAAAGCACTGGGTTTATAGACAGCGAAGATGGACTAGTGTCAGTTGAACAGGGACATTTTCTACTGACCTTGGTAAGGTTGTTACATAGTGTATACACCAAACATGATAGGATTATTCTAGACTTGAGGTTTTCGTGACGGCAAGGATCCATACTGTCGGTTCTTTCGGTAAAGTCACGTAGGTAGAGAAAATAAAATAAAACAAAACGACGTTTTGGGCGCAACACAAGCCTAGGGCATACTTCAGCGATTGTTTTCGCTGTGGTTGTCCCTGCCTGATGATGGACGCTTGTGTTGCGCCCGAAACGTCGTGTTTTGTTTTATTTTCTCGACCTACGTGACTTTACCGAAAGAACCATGATAGGATTATTAGTTTAATGTTATTATACTCTTAGGCTTTTTCGGTAAAGTCATGTAGGTAAAAAATAATAGAAGTAATAATGAAATAAAATAATAAATCACGTTTCGGAGGCAACACACGTCTCCGTCATCAGGTGGGACCGTCACAGCTAAAATGACTTGTGTTGCCTCCGAAACGTCGTGATTTATTATTTTATTTCTATTAATTTTATTTTTTACCTACGTGACTTTACCGAAAAAGCCTAAGAGTATGAATCCTTGCAGTCACGAAAGCTTCAAATCTAGAATTCATATTATAGATGGGAGTGATGTGATTGGGACCAACTGGAACTGATGGCTGACCTTATTAGTTTCTGGCCCATCAGCCCTGCTTTCACCAATTTATTAAACTCAATTTCAAATTGTATAAAGTAGTCCGATGACAGGACATATGAACACATTACTTGTGACATAACCAGTGACTGCAAAACCTGTTGTGTTTGACAGGATAAATGCACATTGATGATAAATACACATCGTAATGATGATATCGCAATACATTCAAATAATTACATTAAGTGCATGAATAAAAACAATTGCACAATGAAGTTATGAAAACCTTTATTAAACGATATTTCCATATATACATACAAGAATGAACACATTAAGAAACAATGTACATTACACATGTGTAAATGTATATACTGTATATATTTATACACACATATACATATATACAGTATGTTTTATTTCTCTACGACGTGACTTAATGACAAAAATGCTTTCATGTTAACATTTCATAATTATTGTAAAACCAATAGATATTTGCAGGGCATGAAAGACAGCAAACTTCAACATACTAAAATACAGATAAGGTACAATTAAAATAGATTCAAAAATGGTTATGTTCATAAATTTTACATAAAGAACCAGACGCACACACATACATTTTGCACAACAAAGAACATTTAAAATAAACCGTAAGTGTACATGAACACATATCACACCTACCTACATGGATGTGCAGCATGCATTGTTAACAATGTTGGGGATAATTTAAACAGGTCATCAATTGACTATTTTATGTAGACAATACCGCATTAATAGGAGCTATGGTCACTTTTATACAACATATACTTGGCACATACCATTACTTGGACAATGTATATGCTTGTATGATAAAAAATATGACTTAACTATTTGGAAAACTGTCTAGCAGTTGGGGCAAGAGCACAATATTCTTGGGGAAAAAACGTGCTATCCATATGATGACCAAGGCGTTATAATTTGGGTTTGGCAGTTAGCACTAAGATTCTTCAAATGGTCACATTAAATTCATGCCGTCCCCTACTGTTATATTTAGAATTCGTTATATAAATGGTTCTTATCATCTTACACTGGCAACAGAATGAAAAGGGAAGTAACTTTGGTTGAGAAGGATTGGAGCCGTTGCCCGTTCAAGGCAATGTCCACATGTCTGCCACAAAGTACGCAAAGCATATTTTCTTCCCCAAAAAAGTAAATGTTACAGTTCATAATGTTCTACTCAACTATAACCAGCATCTCAATTATATATACATATTATACATATATCTCATTAAAAATACACACATTTGGTTGATGGTATGTTGATGCAGTTCACATGGGTGACTGGCTTCATATGTTTTATGGTATTATGAATGCACTATTACACTTGAAAGAGATTAGAAAGTACACAAGAGATCAGTAAGTCACTCTACAGTTTATCCATGTGAGGAGATCACGACACTATGTTCTGGCATGACATGGTGGGAACTCATGGAATGATTTGCATCACTGGATCTGCAAGTTAGCCAGTGAGGGTAGGTGAACTGCATTCTTGGGAGTGTCACGTTACAGGCCAGTGCCCACAAACAAGATAATGTTGCAGTAAAGACATGTGATTAGCTCCGACAACATTAGTGTACAGCAGCAGCAGACACTGGATTTGTGTAGCAAACTGGCGCAGTGAATCCACACCAATTGATGGGAAAATATTGTGCAGCCAGTGGCATGATATGTACATGTGATGTGGAAAACCTCTAATAGATAATAACGAATCATTTTTACGACAGAAATAATTGAGAAAGTCAAATATGCACCGAATGCTCTGCATTTCATCACCTTAATTTATACAGTGCATCTTTGGCAGTAAATAATATAATTTAACATACCACATTGCAATGGAAAATAACCTTAAAACGCAAAATGTTTTTTGTTGTAATATATATAATTCAATTATCACACGCATACATCTTTCACATTAGAGTTAGAATGAATTTAACTTAGAATTCCAGCCATGCAATTATAGCAAACACGATTTAGAGCAATGTGCTTATAAAACTGAAATACACGTCATGATCATTTGTGTTCAACTGAAGCCGTTGTACCGAGCTCAGAGATCAAAGTACTTGCACGTAAGACATTTACCAGCCTATGCACAAGCAATGCTGATTTAGGGTTGATTCTTTGTCTGATGTTCTTCTATAAGCTTTGTGAGTCTTTCAATCTCTTTACCAAGGGTCTGCATGTTTTCCTGAAAAGAAACAACAAAGATAATGAGTCATTCAGTATTCTTAGGTTTTTCCGGTAAAGTCACGTAGGTAAAACATTAAAATTAATAAAAATAAAATAAAAATCACGACGTTTCGGAGGCAACACACGCTTCCGTCTTCAGGTGGAACCGTCACAGCCACGACAGCTGTATCAAGTAAATGAGAGATTGCAGGAGCTACCACTCAATTTATATAATGGTTGGAGAAGGGGGGGGGGTAAGGGCCGAGTACAGCACACTTTTTATTAATATGGTAAGGTGAGGCTTAAGAGGGTGAGCCTTTGTTAGTGTTTACCAGTATTCAGCTTGTGATGGATCGTTATACAGGCACAATTATATCGACAAAGACACAAGGAAGTACACACTAGTAAAATTCTGGAACCAATAGGAATAAATATCATGCACTGTTGAAGCTGATTTTAGACAGTATAGGAAGAACATATATTGACATTTATTAAGTTACTTATTAACGTACGTTGTAGTAAATAATGAAAAAAAACATTTTAAATCTCACTTTTGAAGACTTAAACAAACTTAATATGATATATATGACTGAGCACCTTCACGAACGATACACTCTTTTCTCTAATACCAACGCTGTACTTTGACAATGGTTTCTTTGCCGTTTGTAAGACAATTTTTTAATGGGATGAATAGGGTCATAAAAAAAGATTCAACAATATGGAGACTTCTCGCAATGACAGTACGGCAGTTATTGGAGACTTTTACATTCCACGCATGGATACATTTGGCAAAAGCCATTAAGCTTAAACACTTTCAGCCAACATCCAAAGCCTTAATAGCCAAGCCTGCAGTGTGAAAATCTGAATGAAATGTGGCAGACCATCATCACCAAACAATATGTCGACTCATCCAAATGAAAAAAAAAACAATTCAGATTTAACATCATTTCAGATTTTAAAAAATTGATGGACATCCAATATATACACATTTCTCAACATAGCCAGCAACATAATTTGCTCTTTTGTCCCTTCCAAAGCACTGCAAACCACACATATCCGGGCAGGCTGACCTGGAGGGTACAAAATGTATCGTATTTAATGGCATTATTAGAATATCATGTTTGTGAATAATATCTCTGAGAGTCTGGTAACCTGTGCTGCACAAAGTTCAAGGGAACAGCTACACAATAGTACGAATATGCAAGGAAAAGACCAATGACTCATGTCCTCGAAGGTCCAGTAGGGATTGCTTGCATATTGTAAAGGCTAAAATTGAAACCTCACTGTAATCCAAAGCAAAACATTTTCATGGGTTCAGGATATCAGTGGGGTCAACTGTGGCTCTTTTATGCTTTTAAAATGTTACATTATAAAAATAACATTGCCATTGATATTCAATCATTGCTGTATTTTTTTAGTATGTAATTATAGGCATGCCAGGCTAGTATTGTGATTTTACCAAGAGTAGTAGGGTTATATTAATTTTTTACTTAAAACTTTCGTGACTGCAGGAATTCATATTCTAGGGTTCTTTCGGTAAAGTCACGTAGATAGGAAAAACAATGAAAATAAAGTGAATAAATAATATAAATATCACAACGTTTCGATCGCAACACAAGCAATCGTCAATTTGTTTTCATATATACGTGACTTTATCGAAAGAATCATAGAAAAGGGCTATATTAATGTCCCCCTCATTATTCAATGAATTTTTTCCATTTAAGGTTGCGATACATGTACAGAATTAATAACTTTTTTACACTGTTGTGCATTTTGGCTGGAAGGGTCAAGCAAACGTATTGCATACCTCTGTTCATTTTAACGAATCCACTCTTACACATACGATAACAGTGACTGTATCATGGGGGTAAGAATCTATTGTAATTAATAAATCAATGCACCGTGACACACCTATAATGTATATCAATACAGTAGATGCAAAAACAGTATCTACAAAACCAATGTGCGATGCAAAAACAGTATCTACAAAACCAGTGTGATGAAAAAATTGTGAAAATAATTCATTTGCACCACCACTTGTGCACACATTGCTATGCATTTAAAGCAAAATGCTAATTTATGGCAGATATGTAAATTCCAAAATTGTACAATGAAGTATGCAAAAAAAATTCTAATTTAAATCCATGCTTACTCTTTAACTCACCATGTTTTATTCTGCTATCCATAAAAAAAGAATAAATGCAACATTTTATATAAATTATCTGACAGGTGCAGATGCTCATTTTTAGGAGCTGAGCAGAGGCTGGCTATATTTAATTGAAAAAGGAAGTCATTTACAGAAGAGAATGTCATGCATGCATCTTGTTACGCGTTTCCTGCCGGTTAAATTTATTCACTGGCAGAAGCACCTACCAAACACCATAACCACCAGACAATTTGCTTGGGAACATTGCCAAAGTGTGTGCCAAAGTAGCAAAGTCATCAAAAGGTCCCCCTGTATCCTTGTGCATGCGACCGATTTGAGTTTTATAATCATGGGGGTGACTGTGGGTTTATTCCCCACCAATTAAGAGTCACACAAGAAACGTGAATTATTGCAGCACGCAGCAAAATGACTTCTCGGCAAATTACTTGTGTGCTTTTTTTGACGTCAGCAGCTTTTATGCTGTTTACTCTTTTGTCAACGAGAGACGCCTTGGTTACTGTGAGGACAGGCAGTTTCCACTGACCATCAGAGCAATCTCTTTAAAGATCATGCTGTCGGCACACTAGTAATCTGCACAAATACTCGCAATACGGAGTAAAATTTTATAATACATTTAACACAAAGCATGCACTGTTAAACTTATAACATGTGCAAAATGGACAATAATTGTGGCATCACAATATATTTGCCCTCCACTTAAGGTAGTGAAGTCAATTAAAATGTTTTGCACATGACAACCTACAATTACCCATTCAAATCTTACCCCACCTTTTGTTTTGAAAGAACTGTGGCTAAAGAAAAAAAACTAAATCACAAATGCTGTAAAAAGAAAATTGGTGATGGGAGGGATAACACTGCCTTTTGGTACGAATGATGCATTATGAAAATAGGTATAGTGCAACCATCGATAATGATCAGCTTTCATGCCTGTGTCTTGGGAATGTCCCTTTGACTTTGAACCATACTGAAACAAAAACCTTGTTTTTTTTAAAAATAAAAAATCGAACACCATTACATTACTAAATGCTAGCACTACAAATAAATCATGTTAATTAATTACACACATAATTACTACTCACCGAGTTGCTTAGTTGATAATCTTTATTGAAACAGCTTTCAATGAATAATGCACTATTTTTGCGCGAGAACTTACAATGTTAGTTTCAGTGTGTGTACCACCCTGCTCGTCTGCTACTCTGCCTTCAATTCCATCCTCTATCCGCCTGCATTTCGCTCGTCCGATTCTCTGTGATGTGCAACTCCGTGATGTGAAATGCCGCTCTCCCTGGGCCTCCTGCGTCTCCGCTGCAGGGATTCATGGACCCACGATGACGTTGGTCGTGTACGCATGAGCAACTAGGTACACTGCCCCGCTAGCACCTGCTACGCAAGAGCGACGGCCAATGACGCGTCGCTATGGTGGCACATTCTAGCGTCACAATGGCCCAAGAGGTCCTTTACGGGCTTGTCCTTTCATGTCATAAAATGAGTTTTGGTTAAATGCTATTAAAATTCTCTGCTGCTCCAACTTTGCTGGACAAAATGTGGGTGTGGTTACGTAATAGATCTCTGAATTATTTTCTTGGGAAAGTTATGATGTATTATGTTCTAATTTAAAACTATAAAAATGTATCTGTAAAATATAGTAACATATTAAGAAATGATTTGACATTGTCACATGTTATTTTTGATAAAAAATGCGGTACCTCAAAATATAATTAGTATATTATATTAATATAACTAAAGTTTATACATTTAATGCAAAAAAATCTTTATTTTTCAAATACCTACTTAAGTCTCACCAGTTATATAAACTTGCGGGAAGTACTCGGCGTTATCAGGGGGAAAAATATATTCAAAAACTTATCTTAAAACATAACATACATACACAAATACTTAACTATTGTGAAAGCCCGGTGTGCTGTTTGTCCATTTGTCTGTCAAAAAAATAAGAGGCTTGCAGAAGTCCAACAAGTTATAGAAAGTGGGGGGTCAATAGATATTCTTTGGGTCTTTCGGTAAAGCCACATAGATAGAAAAATTATAATAAAATAAAACAAAGAATCACAATATCAAGACTTGTCGATTGCAACACAAGCAATCGTCATCAGGTGAGAACTGCTGAAGCAGAAAAAAATACATGGCGGGAGCGCTGCTAGTATCTACCGATTCTGCAGTAGTATCTCCCAACTTTACAAAAGTATCTACTGACTCTACAGTAGTATCTACAGACTTTGCAGTAGTATCTTCCGACTCTATAGCAGTTAACTACGAACTTAACAGAGTGCCGTGGTGAGGCCTAGTCCCGTGCAGAGTCCCCGGCCTCGTCAAGATTACCCAGCCGACCGAGGTGGCACCTTGGCAGGCTGGGGCTGGGCTGCTATACCGCCCCCCCCCACCACCTGCTCTACAGTAGCAGTAACTAGAAACTCTACAGTAGTATCTACCTACTCTATAGTCATATACACCCACTCTAGAATAGTATATAATCGACTCTATAACAGTACTAACTTCACAAAGTGGCGTGGTGAGGCCTAGTCCCGTGCAGAGCCCCCCGGCCTCGCCTCGATTGCCCAGCCGGCCGAGGTGGTACCTTGGCAGGCTGGGACAAGGCCGCTACCTCCCCCTACCATCCCCTCGCCCGCTCTACAGTAGTTATCTACGGACTATAGTAGTAGCATCTACCAACTTTATAGAAGTAACTGCACACATTTGGGTGGGGGGGGGGGGAAGAGGATATGAATTATTTTATCATTTCTAACGTGAATAAGAATTCCCCCCCTCCCCCCCACTGATTGCGTGTGTGCGTTGCTAGGGCAACCACCGGTCAGCTTTATCGCGCATGCGCAGATGCGTGCTTTGGTGCATGCTCAACGTAGTTATATAATAAATAGAACTAAATTGTTAATTTAACTACTTTAAAGTTGACGGATGTGAAATACGAATAGTGCAGGCTCACCACGGGGCTTGTCGCGTGGAATCTGGGTACTTTTTTGACACATAAACCCCATGGTTTGCGAGTTAAAACAGTCGCAAGTTGTGTCCACACACACACAGACAGACAAAAAATGAATTATATAGGTTAGATGAAATAATGAAAATAATTTGGATCTCTTGTCAATCCACTTTTGGATGTCTCTCCATGTCCTGCCAGTCATTGGGGTCTGTTTGACCATACTTCACCACGCTGGTTAGTCTGTAATAGTGCATGGGTATGGGGCAGCAGGTGGGGAGGGGCCCAGGACTAGTTTAGACATCACTAGTCTCTGATGTTAGCCGTAGTCAGGAAAACAACTCAGCCGATTAGCTGGGATCATGGTGCAGGGCACAAATTACTATACCATGATCGCACTACTGCTCCCTCCTCTTGAAGCATATTTTAAAATAGTACCGTGACCTGCATGGGAGAATGCTTCTGATGAAATGTGTTTCATGTTACCCGATAAAAGCTCAAATATAGATCACCAAAATAGCTCTCAAATAACACACTCTTCACTTTGTAAGTCACAGGTTCAAAATGCTGCAAAAAACCTGCACTATGCAAGGGAACCGATTTTTTTTTTAAATAAAGGCCATGGGCTTGAGGATGTCTATGCCAGATACCTTGAGGGTGATGTTCTTGAGGACTGTGTCCTCGAGCACTGCTTGCAGCTTGTGGTTGATCTGCAGAGACAGCTCCAGTGTCATGGTGCTGTCGGCCGGCTGCGACGAAAACACTGACGCCATGATGCCTCCCTTGCGCGAAAGCTGTGCTTTGCTCATGTCCGAAGCTTCAGAGGACAGGGCCCCCGACTCCTCGCGCATTATGTAACTGTGTATGATCCTGAAACGGAGAACAACATCAACCGTGTGCTGAGCACACACACACACACACCTCTAATAATGGAATGGAGCTAATCGAACAAAGTGATTATATTTCAAGTAACCTTGATATGGAAAGTTTGGTGGTTGGCTCGCATAAAATGCTGTGTAATCGACTGAAAGGTCAAGCAAAATGTATCACAATGTGGGTGTTTGTTCTTTGAATAATATAGGCAGGGAGAAATTTAATAGCATTTCGTCCTTATATTGTGAGCCCAAATAATCATACTTTACATACACTATTAAAATTAGTAATAATCTACTGTTAAAGATTAAAAAAAACACAATCTCCATTGACTACAGACACATTTTCAACAATGAAAGATTTAGAAAATAAATTCAGGTGCTGGAAATCGAATTTACTTTTCAAAAGATATTTTAAACTATTACTTCAAACTAGCCTTGTGAATGCTGCATTTATTCCAAAGTAATAAAACTGACATTTCAAAGGAAGTGAAAGTTATTAGAATGATCAGGGCATTTATAAAAAGTATAGTTTTTTACATTTTTAAGGCAAATTACGGAAAATTATCTAAATATCCAACAAATTTGTAATCTGGTTAATGTAAAGAAATACATGAAATTAGTTTATATCACTTCACCACACTGGTAACTATATTTCACCATGCTGGTGAGTGCGGTTTGATAAAGGCAGGGAGCATAGCACATCACATGTTAAATGCAATGTTTTTACTTGCGACTCACAAATGCTTGGAAACGATAAAACCAAACAGATTAAACTCAAGGTGGACACCATTGGAACCTCCTTTGCCAGTAGCAAAATATGATAATTGTTTTTTTACCCTTTTATCTGGCAACAAAACTGACACCTTTTTTTTACAAGGAGTCATGTTTGCATTAACCACAATACCTGCGGTCGGAATGCAAACAAAAAACACAACTCTGATAATGTATGCACTGTCCTTGAAATTGATTGGTCCACACCCAAGACAGCTTTTCTTAGAGCCTAGTCTCACACGGTGACGCCCTTTGGCGTCATCTGGTCCAACACCATGTGAGACGAGGCTCTAAGAAAAGCTGTCTTGGGTGTGGACCAATCAATTTCAAGGACAGTGCATACATGATCAGAGTTGTTTTTTGTTTGCATTCCGACCGCAGGTATTGTGGTCAATGCAAACATGACTCCTTGTAAAAAAGTTGTCAGTTTTGTTGCCAGATAAAAGGGTAAAAAACAATTATCAAGGTGGACACTTATGAAATACAACGTCCACACAAACCTCCATCTTTAAACATCACAATTGGCTTCGATTAGTTACATTTTTGCACCGAAATCAAGCCACTCACTTGGTCTTCCTGCGCAGCTCTTCGAGGAGTTGTTGATTGTGATCTTCCAGGAATTCCACTTTCTCGTTCTTCTTGGCTAAAGTCTTCTGCAGGCGTACGATGCGCTCTATGAGCACGCTCTTGTCCACCTCTGGAAAGCTGTCGGCTGTGCCGGGGCTGGAGCCCGCCACCTCCGAAAAGCCCTCGTCGCGACTGCCACCTGCGCGCACGTTCAGCGAGCCTGACGGGGAGACGAGATGAGGGAGATAAACTGAAACTAAATTATTTTTATTTTTACCAGGTAAGTCCCACGGAGCTATATAGCTCTTTTTGAGAAGCGACATTGCCACAAATTCTAGTAGCTTACAATGTGAAATTTATAGCAGCCAAATACTATAAATGCATGCCGATTCAAAATGTTGAGGGAAAAACCAGAGGACGTGGAGAAAAATCCACATGACCACGGGTAGGTAGACATGCAAACTCCAAATAAACAGGTATCAGGGTCGGGATCGAACCCCGGACCTCCTGCATATCCGGCATGGGAGTTAACATCATGCCAACGAAATAAAGAGATCCTTGCAAAGATCCAGCAGTCGCTAACTGTGATGCATGGATTGTGGGGGTTGTTTTACCATACTTCACCACACTGCTGAGTGCAGGTTGGTTAAGGCTGGTAACATAAATGGTCGAGCATAATACCAGTACGAATGGATGTTTCTTCACTGCCCAATGCTGTCCACAGCATAGTCACAAAGCCTGCAACACCTGTTTTATACATGGTGGTAGCCCATAACAGCACTGTCCAGTCCAGGGCTCAAAAGTCCTGCTTAGCTTCCGAGATCGGGCACATTCTGGGTGATATGGTACAAGGAAATCACAACATAACCTTGTTAAACTAATTCAGTAAGTCATGTTGTAACACAAACTCTACAGCCATGCATGTCCCGGTTGGGAACTTGAGGGACACACACATTCACAACCGAGTGATATAACTCACCAGACGAGCTAGAGCGGCTTCCCATGCCTCCAGATTCCCTGCCTTCTTGAGTAGTTTCGAGCTGCTCCAGTTTTCTACGAGCTGAAAAACACAGCATGCGTAAATTAAAGACCAAGTAATTTTTGTTATTGCGCTGTGCTTCCGTTAAGAAAACTGTCTGCAAGTTTATATTTCAGTAAAAAAAAAATTGCAGCATGATCTCTTTAAAGTTCAAAGCTTATTGTAAACAATTATTTACCTTTGTTATTATTGCAGTTTTACAGCTGAAATATATAAAGATGCCCGAACATGCTTTATCATATTTCAATGTCATATCCCATGTCATCAATGCCAAGGTAGGAAAAATAAGAATTTGTTCCAGTTACATTAAAGCTTTCAACAAACCGTAATAAGAGGTTTTATTTGCCTCGTAACTTACTCAAACAGACCATGAACTTTAATTAATAGAACCTTTGTTTCACAATGGACAATATCAATCACGCTCTCGTCATGTTATAATGCATAGACAAAATCATGCATTACAAACCATGCATGAAGGTCTCTTCACCTACTGTAGTATAATGGATTCAATCGGACAGAGGAAAAAATAATTATACTGAGGGCCATATATGCACAAACCAAGATCCGATCATAAGAGGTTTTTGGGTCAGATCTCGTTATTTATAAATGTGTCGCAACCCTCCACCACCAGACACGGCCAATCAGAAAAAAATGTGTCACGTTGACAAAAGACAAATAGTTGACTACTTTAGCCCACCAGGGTGTGTTGAAGAGTGGATCCACAACATTTACAATTTGAGTAGTATGATGTTTCGCTGGAATATACATCCAGCATCTTCGGGCGATTTGCCGGAATAGTGAAGCCATCGACCTGCTTCTGGTCTCAAATAGTGCAGGATGACGTCATCATTGTTGAACCCCTTCAGGATTCGAGATCAGAGGCGGAGGTGTATGCAATTATGTAATAGATCAGTAATCAGCCACTTAGCATGTGACTCACCTGTAAGGAATTGCAATGTGTTGTATATCTTACTTAATAATTCAAAAACTAGTGTCTTGTACTAAAGATGAATCACCGAAGTTATGAACAGAAGGTGTATATCGGATCAATTGCTTATGCGGCAAGTGTTATATTGGACAGACGGGACGTAACATTAGCGCAAGACTAAAAGAACATCAAAGAAACATTAAATTCTCCCAAACAGAGCTGTCAGCAGTGGCAAAGCATGCTTGCTAACAAAAACATTCAATTGATTTCGATAACGTTGAAGTGTTATGCAGAACTATTTATTACTGGCCAGGATTAGTTGAAAATCAATTGAAGTTGAGAAGAATTCAAATAATTTCAATCGCTGTGATAGCTATACTTAGCGAAGCCTGGAAGCGTATTATTAAGTAATAGACAACATATTTTGCATTTTTTTACAGGTGAGTCACATGATAAGTGGCTGATTACCGATCTATTACATAATTGCATACACCCCCATCTCCGCCTGTGATCTAGAAACGTGATGGGGTTCAACAATGACGTCATCCCGCACTATTTAAGACCGGAAGCAGGTGGATGGTTTCACTATTCTGGCAAATCGTTCGAAGATGCTGGATGTAATGTCCAACGAATCGTCAAGGTTACTCAAATTGTAAATGTTGTGGATCCACTCTTCAACACACCGGTGGGCTAAAGTAGTAAACTATTTGTCTTTTGTCAACGTGACACATATTTTACTGATTAGCCATGGGGGTGGTGGAGGGTTGCGACACATTTAGAAATAATGTGATCTAACCCAAAAACCTTTATTATGAATAATACTAGTCATGAATGCCTACGTGTTAAAGATCCTATCAGTTGCCTTAAAATCTTTAAGAAACCACCAAGGTTGTTATGTACATTCAGGAAAATGAATGACATACCAAATGACAAATGGTGGGAAAATAAAGAAATTAAAGTAATGCTTTCATGGTTTTAGTTATTGGTAGTAACGACCAGTATGTAAATGACACGTAATGTATGCCATTTTTAACATTTGTAGTTTGTATCCAAATTACACACAACGTAATCAGTAATTTGTATCTAAATGAGAGTTGACGTGGATAATTGGTAACGTGTATAAACATTACTATACGGCAGTAATTGAAAGGTATTTTGCTCATCATTGCGAGTTGGAAGCATCTGGGCTCCCTCACCATGCATCAGCTGCTTGCTCATATCCTTGGTGTTGGCAGCGTGCTTTCGCTTCTGGGTGGCCAGCTCATCCCTCAACTCATCCGCCTGTGTACGGAGCAGTGCTAGCTGACGGGTCGCCTCTGTGAGCTCTGCACCCAGGCGGCGCTGTTCCTCCTCCAGCTGCTTCTTCACCACCCCCAACTCTTCAGCCTAGAAGCCGACAACACCACTTGCGTATTATCATCCGTTTGTCAATCCACTGCTGGACAAAGGCCTCCCCCCCCATGACATATCGGTCATAAGGGGTTGTTTGTCCATACTGCACCATGCTGGTCAGTACTGGTTGGTGAAGGGAAGGGGGCGAGAGCTTCAGATATCACCGCTGATGTTAGTCATGGCAGGTGATCTACCAAGGTCAAGTTAAATCGAGCAGTATGCTTTCCATTGTGCCACTGCTCTACCCACTATGGTCATCATTCATTAACGATAATGAGTGTGTCAAGGTTCTTCCCCTTTGTTTTTTGTTAATTTACCCAAATTAGATTTATATTAACATGTGCGATTTGTGGCATACAAACTCTGACAAAACCATAAGCTTTGAATGTTTTAACTTTATATTCATTTTTTAGAATAAAATTTAAAATTGGGAAATAATGATTGATGTTTTAGACATAACAATTACGAATGAAACATTGTCCACAGTTTTAAAGTTTCCTTTTACATTTAGGCTACAAGCATAAAATTCAACAATTGCTGTTAAGTGTACATCATTCTCACAAATGAGCAACCTGCTCTGATTATATTCAGTGAATTGGCTGAATTATATATTGCAGCCATGTCATTACTGTCAAATCTGCCACAAACCAATTTCATGGAAAGAACTCAACTCAAATATTAATAAACCCTCTTTCAAAAAGACACCGACGTGGAATTTAATTAAATATACAATGCATACCTTTTAAATTTATTTTATAAAAAATATAGTTTTCTGCAATTAGTTGTACACTGATCCAATGCAAAGAACACTGTATATATCCAGTTAACTTTTGATTATCCATAGGCAAATTACACAGGTTGCAGATTAATTGTGCTGGCAGAAAATAAAATAAAATATATTTTCACAGCCCACATGACCATAAAATGTAAAAAATAAAAAGTTTGCCACAAACAGCAATGCAAATGGACATCTTCACCCCCATTCTACGCAAGTAAACAATAAATGTTTTTATAGCTCGATTCACATACGCTTTGCGTTGTTTGAATTTTACTGGGGCCACCCATGCCCATTTTCCCCAGATAATTGAGAGTCGAGAGCCATGATAATCATCAGCAGCCATGAGGATAGAGGCCTCCCCAAGTCGCTGCTGTGCTTCATGGTGGCAGGAAGCAACAATTCACCCAACACCTCAATGTAAACTTTATTTTATTTGAGATCCCAACATTCACTTTGCATTGTACGGTTCACCCACCAGTGCTTCCTTGGCCTGGCCCTGCGTTTGCAGTTCCTGCATCAGCTTGCGCTCGCAGGCCTCCAGTCGATCCACACTTGCCTGCAGGCCGTTGCTGTCGGACTGTAGCTGTGCGTTTTTGCTGGCGAGTCGCTCGGCAAAGGCCAGCAGCTCGGCCTCGCGCTCACGGCTACCGGCGATGTCCACCCGCAGGTCGGCCACAAGGCAGTTCAGGCCCGCCAACTCCTCGCGAAGAACTGCCTGCTCCTGTTCATCGCTGCAACGCCAAGAAAATGCCAGGAATGCCGGTTTCATTGTTATAAGCGCTGCTGTTGTCGGCACAGTGTGGATTTCTGGGTTTAAGAACGTGACTGTTCAACGAAGGGGTCTTTTGGAAACGCTTGAATAATAAAGCTTTAAAATAAAACAATGTCACGCTTTATTAAACTACAGAACGATACTGAATGATGTGATATGTATCGCATGTACATAGGGCTCCAGGATTTTGGGATTAACTGATGAACACTGATAAAACACCCCTTCCTCCCCCACCAGCACTGTTATTTAAACAATATATAGGTGTTCATCAACTCAGCATTGAAAAAACTACAGAACGGGTTAACCAATTCATGTTGGAAAATTAATTTATAGTAATTGGTTACAAATTTATGTTTAACATTAATTTACCAAGACAATGTCCAAAAATCAGATTGTATCATGAACAGAGCAAGCTGGAGACCTATATAATCAGAAAATGTAAATTTTGTTGGCTGGTATTAAAATGTAAAAGTATAAAAAAAGATTAAACTAACATGACACTACAAAGTGTATAAAAATCGAAATCACTGCAAAAATTCCATCTTTGGGTATTTATAAAAAACTTATAAAAATACGAGAAAGCCTAAAGCTGACATTAACACATACCATGAATGTGACAGTATTACGTCTTATTTCTCAAGCAAAGCAGCACCAAAATTAATACAAGCAGTATTTATCACAAGGAATTTCAAGTGAAATCACATGTAATATCCCAAAGTGCAAAGACAAATTACATAGCAAAGTCAATGGAATATAGCACACAAGGAATACATTTAATACAATGCATCCAAAATCTTGTCTCCACTGAGTGCAGGATAATGAGAATGGTATTAGCTTAGAAAACAAGGCTCTTCATACAATTATTGTATGCTTAATAACAGTCATGAATATAAAGGAGCCTTGACTATATTAAGCCAGGCATCGAGCCAGAACCGGGTTACTTGGGTGCATAAGCATGGCTTTTATTAAGGGAAGGTTCGTAAGCGATGAGGCAAAATCCCAACCTGCATGCCAAGTCAGGTACTGTGACAGCCTTTAATCCCACTTGAATAAATTGAGGATTATTCATATTGTTTCCACAATTGGAAAGTTTACAATCCTTTAAGCAGTAATTTTACATTTAAATAAGCATTCTGGCTGGACTGCCAGCTGATCTTTGGAAGCCATGTATGCAAGCGGAGGGGATTTTTATGTGCTTTCAAAAGAGGTCAATATTCCACACAAACGATATAAGAAGTGAGGACAGGCACAATGGTTTGAATATTCAACCGATACAGCCAAACTTTCCAGAATCTTATTGGAAGCAAGAAATACGTATCTAATTCATGTATACAGGTCAATTAAATCTACCTTACCACTTAATACAATGCACTGTACAGCAGAAGCATGTATATAATGTAGGTTCCCTCCCTATGAAATATTTACCACAAACAATCTAAATTTTCTTGAACAAAAATATATACACATATTATAATCTGCAATAACATTATAAAACTTGGACACACTGCTTATTTAGCTCCAGTTGAATATGTTTCATAGATATTTTATGTATTTCAAATGGCCAAAATATCTTACTCAGTGCAACGATTCCTGCTCTTGCTTAAATCGGCCTATAAAGCATAAACTCCATTTAATGAAAGCCACATGTGTGTTCTCTGCTGCCTGATTTAGGGAAATGGTAAAAACAAAACTTTACATCCCAATAATTAGGAAAACGAATTAAGAGAAATGTTTTGAAATGGACTAACTACTCTGAATTATCCTTCTCTGTGAATAAGCCTCTAATGAGCAATTATATAATGAATCATTAGACAGTCTAACTATCTCAATGAAGGCACTTATAAATGACGAGAAATGGGTTTATTACACCTTAGATCTTCCACTTATATTACAGCCAATGAGAAATCGATGTAATTGGTGTCATTCTGATTAATTAACAATATAGCGTTTTTTGGAGGATTTGTCAATCTCTAAAGAGTTAACAAAAATGTATTAAAAAAAACTTTTTTTCCTCTTGAAGTCAAAATGTATGCATTATTACAGTATATTATGTGCTCCTACACTGATGTATTGAAAGTCAATAATTGCTTCATATCTACAGTATTGATAAAAAAGCGCATTTAAAAAAATAACTCCGCAAAATTATCCTTAATACGGTCATTTATATAAATGTTCCCAAACGGCCCAGTAATAGTGAACCTTTCCTTTGTTAAAGTAACCCAACAAAGAGTGACGATGCATCTCAGAATGCTGGCTATCACAACATTCGAAGCAGGTTTTATATTTACTCCCAAGTATTGCCGTAAGCATGGATGATCGTACGAGCCACCCAGATGGGATTACACAAGGTGCAATAAGACACACTTCACATCTGTTGCCCGAAAGCTCAGGTGTTAAGTCAACAAAGCCTCAAAGTAATCCATTCCTCAGCTAAATAAACCGATCGCGTTCTGCAATACGAGCAATTGCTCATGTTGCAATGGGGCAGAATTTTTATGACATTTTCTGGTACACATTTACAACTCTAAAAAAAGACATGCAGTCAACTATGATGGAATACAAATCATGGTATTCTGTATCAATATTTTTTTAAATATTTGTTGAGTTGTACACTTTAGAAAACGGATCATTAATTGGTCACTTTATCTGACAACTAAATTTTATATAAGATTAATTGGAATTGCACGACAAGACATTGTGAATTACTGAAAGTACATGATTATGAAAATACATAAACTATTATTCTTTGCAATGCAAAAAAAACCTTCAACCATAATGCAAAGTTTATAACCATAATGTAAATGTAATGATATACAGCAAAACCTTGGATTGCGAGTAACTTGGTCTGCGAGTGTTTTGCAAGACGAGCAATTTTTTTTTATAAATATTAATTTGATAAACGAGCGAGGTCTTGCAATACGAGTAGTACGTATAAGCTTTGTCTGCCTAGTGTCACGTGATCACAACCGATATACGAGTGCTTTGATATACGAGTGCTTTGGATGACAAACACGTTTCCGAAAAATTATGCTCGCAACCCAAGGTTTTACTGTATAGCCAAAATGCAATATTTTGCAAACCCTACACCTGAAGCGGTCCACTCGTACTGCTTAATCAAGGCCATTTCGATTGAAGTGTACTAAAAGGATAATCGAGCATTAATGTCTTCATGAGATGGACCCGAGCTAAGCAGCCCTTGTGCATGTGCGTGCCAGTAAGTCAATTATCACATGAGAACACCACCTATACCTGTCTATCTGCTCTTGGAGGCGGTCAACTGCGCGCACACCCTCCTGCAGCTCCTGGATCTCTGCCTTCTGCCGGTTGATGATCTCCCGGTACTTGGCCAACTCCTCCTCGGTGCGTATCCTCTCCTCCTCAAGACACTTCACCTGTACAGCGCACAGCACAGTCGTGTGCAATGAAGCAGTGGCAGGGCTTGATTTCTCACAAAATATTTTTGGGGTCACTGGTAGACTGGATTGGGTATGTATGCACATGACCAGTAGCTATGGCCACAGAAAGAGATATACCGAGTGTGGTGTGCAGAAAATATTTTTTGGCTTTCCGACCCAGGCAGAACCGGTTGACATTAGGCCCTGTGCAGGTGGAATTTAGTGCTCACAATAAAACAATGTATACCAATAGTATTCCAAATGTGCTACTGGTTTCATGTATTGAGATGAATTATCCATTTAGCACTCTTTCAGAATAGTGCAGCACTCCATATTGTAAAACAGCCTGCAGTAGGAAACGTCATAAAACTACTTCTAAGCGCTCTTCAAGTGACATCTTTAATCCGCAAGAGATGGCACTGTAATTTTCCACACGTCTTGCACAGACAAATGTTTTCCACATGGCAGTCAAACAGACAGTTTACATTCTCAGAGGTAACTATTTGAAAAGGTAAGTGAAACACAAAATAAATAAATAAATATTCACAGTAGTCAGTGAGACCATCAACTTACCATAATCAAGAATTGGGCTGGAATCAAGGGTGGCTACCCAGATTCAAACCCAGGGTCAGTGGCAATTTTATTCTGCTAACCGTTTAAATATAATCAGCATTCTTTAGATTTTATACAAACTACAGATGAAATAATTTCAGGAGTTATTTATCTTTCTAAAGCACTACCAAAGGCCATAAGGTAAAAAAAATGTATTTCACTGAATGATCAGATATATTTGGAGGTGCAATTCTTAATCAATAAAGATCAGAGCAATGTTTTAATGCCCAATCCATTTTGATGAAGCCAATAATTATAGGATAACCTTCACAAGCTCTACCTCTAGGCTGTATTTATTCTCTACTTTTAAAGTAAACCAATGAAGATAAATTGGGTGCATAAGTAACCAGGAAGAGTTATTTACATTCAAAAATATTAACTATCGAAACTTAACTATGCTGGTAAACAACTCATTAATTTCGTATTTTACTTTTAAAACAAACATGTTCCAATTCTACACAGCAGAGCCAATTTTTTTTACTGCTGCATGGAACTGACTGAAAAGACGTTTGTTTCTATAATATAATGAGAATTTCAAATAAAAAACACAACAATGAAATGTACTGGGAAACAGAATTTAAACAAAATTAATACGCATTATACATGTTTTTATCACGTTATTAGAATCATCACTATTGTTAGGAGCCAAATATATCTATATACGACAGCATCAATTTACAGCTGCGATCAAATTCAGTACAATAGAATGTGCAATATTGAAGCCAATCATATTTGAACAATGAATTGTAAAAGTTGTCAAAGGAACCCCAAATGCGATATCTTTTCAAACTAAAGAACAGCAGCAATACAAACTTGTGTCGCTACGAACAATGTGCTCAATCAAGTACTGTACCATGACCATTGCACCCAGCACAGCTGATTTAATATCTTTCCTGCTTCCCTACTCCCATCACTGCCATTTACAGATCAGCAACTCCAAGCCCATTTGCCCAAGAAAGCGTGAAACACTGATGATGACCTAGTTTTTGGGTTACACTGCCGATATATTTCCTGGCCTTCCACGGGTCATTACTCTTAGTCGTGATATGGCAAGCTGTTTCGAATTACAACATGTAGCCTTTACCTTTGGCTATAAAGGACTCGCTTTATATTATTCAACCAAAGCAAATAAAGGTATATTTGAGAGAATGTTTCCATGTGTAAGAGACACAGTGAACTTGAGTACTCTTTTCACACATAAATCAATACTAATATAAGATGGAGGCCATTTATAATCAATAGAGTACCATACCCGACTTGATTCCTTTCATATATATCAACATTTAATTTAATCTTCATTTGCTGCCAACAAGAATTTCCAAATGTTAGTCCTTTATTATACAATACTTAACACCTTGTACGAAAATATTCTGCAGTATTTTAAGAAGATTTCTTACACATTTATAAGTCTGAGTTAAAATATTTCATCATTGCACATGATGCTTGAAAATAAGCAAATGTGCCACTATAAAGGGCTTACAGGTGCATGAGCCATGATACATTTTGTAACAAGTATCATATGCTTTGGTAACAGTGTACTTGAATGTCTTGGCTGTGGCATTGATAACTAAGCACAAATTAATTGCAGTCATGTTCTCTGAAAATCAAATTCAGTCTATAAATATAAAACTTACAGCTGTATTAAAATGTTTCTCATCAACAGGTGTCACTGCAAAATTCCCTTAACAAGAAAAGCCAAAAAACACCAAATAGGGCGATGGAGTTGAGGTGTAGCCCCCAACGGTTCCTTCCGAAGTCACAGAGTCAGTGATGCAAGTCAAAAGTGGGCAATGACACTATAATAAGACTCCACAATTTCCCCACCCTAACAACTCACCCATGCCCCACTCATTGGCTTCTCTACAATATTTTTTGTCTGATCCGCACAGCCCCAAATGTTAAGCCAAGCGACACCCAAAAGAAGCCACAAAAGACGCCGATATTCCCACCTTTGTCCTCAGGGTTCGCAGCTCATCCATGCCTTCTTTAAAGTTCCTTTTGAGGTGTTCAAGCTCCTTGATCTTAGCCCCATGGATCTGAATTTTTACAGGAGTGAACACATGCAGAAATGTCAGTCAACGATAATTATTGATAGAAACAATTATTTTAAACTCTAATTTCCAAAGGAGAGCTAATAAGACGGATATTTCAACTTTCAACTGTGCTTAAGGAATGCGAACACCAATTTATATGGTTCGTGCAAAGTGTATAGCATCTAATTGATCGTCACCCAAAATGGGAAACACCTTAAGAGTTCAGGGTATGTTTTTTACTCCAATAGATTATGCAACCATGTGCTACAAGAAATGTGGAAGGAATGTGAACCAATAACTCACCAATGCAAATGATCACAGCCACTGTTGTTCTTAAACTCCCCCCCCCCCCCACCTAGGTATTGTATTACAAATGGGCAGTTGGGAAACTAAAAAGGGTGGGTGGAAAGGGTTAAATGTCCCCTTGGACTAGAATACAGTCGACTCTCGATTATTCCGTGTAATGGGGGGGGGGGGGGCGGTGGTTTGGGCAAATAAAAAACACAAATAATGCAAAACATATGCAACTAAGCGACAAATACATATGCAATTGCTTCCCTGTGTAGAATGGGCGTGAAGACGGAGAACGTGTCATCTATTTTTATTGTTTCTTAAACAGGTTTACCTGCCATGTGTTTGACGTCACGTGTGTGCTGCCTCACTGACTTGTCAACGAGTGAGAAGAAGCGCACAAATATATTTAAGTTTTTGCCTCAAGATTTGTTAATCCACAACCCAGAAAATCTGTCCACAGATCATGCCGAGTTAACCGTTTCGCGCTGCGGGATGTCTGCAAGTTGCAGGGTGGGTCCCGTTCACCAGCAAATCTCAGAAAGCGCAGGCGGCTAGCGTTAATTTAGAGAGGAAAAGCACCCTTGTTTTTAAAAACATTGGACTCGCCACCAAGAACTGTAGAGACACGACCGCACTCTTATGATAGCTGGCACCAAACTGTGCCACACACCCTTTCACATTGGCTTTGTGGGGGCCTCGTTACGTCATCGGAATGGGTTAAATTGTTCGGTTCAGTGGTAGAGGAAGGACAGGTTCACACACCTCCATGTAGTCGTTCTGCTCCTCTCTCCTTTTCCGCAGCTCGCCCTCCGTCACACGCAGACGCACGTCCAGCTCGTTGGACTTGATCTCCTCCGACTCCTGCCAAAGTGAGCCATGGACAAATACTCAGGGTGGGTATGCTTGTTGTCGTTTAATAAAAAAAAAAAGTTCTAAAAGCACGTCAGTGAAAGATAATGTAAAAAGCTTAAGGTACCAACATTCCTAAATGCAAAAAAGTAAATTTCAACGATGCAAAGTCATCACAATTTATACCTCGATAATAGAATGTCTTATAGAAGGAAATGTGAGATGGTATTTATTGTGTTTAAAGAGAAACTGTATTATCTGTGCAGCTTGAAGAGAATCTTCAGGAGCCAAAATATAAATATGTCAATCAAGAGAAATTGCATGGTAACAATTGAGTGAAGCTCACATTGTATTATTGACTAAATGGCTTAACTGCAAAGGTTCTCAAAGGCCAATTCAGTAGGCTGCTACTATTGCGTTTTATTCTTTATATCTTCTAGCAAAAGCATCAATCCAAGCCTAGAAATTGCCCTGAATAAACCAGATTTCATCATCTCAATATCTAAGTAGAATTGAGCCTGCATAGTGCTTGGACTGGTGATCACCATGCAAAAAAATGTGTTGGAGGATATGGAGCTACGTTGTCAGCAGAGAGCAGTGCAGCAAAATTCAACGTCGTGCTATATATTACGCTCCCAAGTCTATGCTTCCTGCCTTTACCATCCTGCACTGACCACCATGGCAAACTGTGGTCAAATAACCCCCATGACCTGCACAGCATGGGGGAGCCTGTCATCCAGTTGATTGACAAAAGGCTCAACATGTACAAGCAGTATCATTTATTTAAAAATATATTTCACAGCAAACCCCATTAAGTGCTATTAAATATATTTTGTCAACCATTATACTACAGTTCATGGTTAGCAGGGAGTGAAGTGACAGCTGCTTAAGCTTTTCCTCTGTCATATTCCATATTTACAATACAATGCAATTTATCTCACGAGTCTGGATTAGTGTTTTATAGAGTGTTGTTTGTTTGAGTGGGTGACTGAGTGTTGTGCATGTTGTCTTGGTTAGTGTATGGGGGGGGGGGGGGGGGGGGAGTCTGGTGGCACCGTTGTGCCACCAGACTCTCCTGTAAGATAAGACGTATATGTAGTACTACTGGAATAATCATAAAAACAATGCAGTGGTAGATAAATTGATACACCTATCAATATTTGTTCAAAAGTATACAGCCGTTGTGAAATGTGTATGCCGTCTGCCATCTAGTGGCAGAAGAAGAAAGTTCAAAAGATTCTCAAGGCATGATTTTTAATGCACCATTGAATTCTAGCAATTCTCTAACATTTAAATAAAACGAAACATACAACTACTTTTGGAATTAAAGTATGTGCGAGTAAAGGTTAAACAAGCTCTTTGGCTGCACCCAACAAAATTGACTTTTACGAACAATAACTAAGCCAATCGTGAGAATACATGCACAAGCAAATATTCTGTGAAGCATGAGCAACAAATAAATATGGCTTTTTTTTCCCATAGCTATGCTAAAGTTCAAGACATCATTTCTTTACATTTAAAGCATGTGGTGAAAAAGAAATGCAATGTAGTTTTTAAGCCTTTAAATGTCATTACCTGATAGGTCTTGATCATCTCCTGACAGTTCATTCGGATTTGTTCCGTCTCTTCTCTTGCTTCTGAGAGTTTGGCAGTTGTTTCCCGTAGCTTCTCTTTGGTTTCCTTAAAAAAGAACCACAAACAACAATATTCAGTCGTGCAATATAAATTAAACAGCCCAAACAATTACAAATACATTGCAGTGGAATAGTCATAAGCTTAATGTAGGCATTTATAGGCATGGATCACATTTTTCCATAAAGAGATTTAGTAATAGGATGAATTTCCTGCCACTTCCAGATAACTCCTCTTATCTGAGCAAAAGCTTGGATAAGAAGAAATACAATGCTTCCAAAAGTACATTTCGGAATAATTTTGTGTCTGGTCAAGTCTGCGGAAAGGGAAATAATAAGATTACTTTGGTACAAACGTTCTCTAATCTGTGCAATGTGTGCTAGTGTCCAGTGGCAATGACTTCCAGGAAATGTATATCCATTAATTTACCAGCATCATAATTATCATAACATTCACCATAACCACCATAACTATCAGAATCGTCGTCATTATAATCAATATCATTATCATCCATTAATATTCCTGAGTTGCGGATTAGTCGCGAATAATAGGAAGGATTTGCCATAGTATTCGGGTAATGTTCTTATCTGCACAATGGTCTGGATAAAAAGGAATTATTTTCTGACACAGATACAATATTTTTTATCCACACGGTTGCTTGAATAATAGGAAGAATATAGTGCACAGATAATAGAAAGACATGCAGGATTGCATAGGGTGTGCAGATAAAACAAAGTGTGGATAACAGCGAATTAGACAAGTAGTGTTACTGTACCTGCAATCCCAGTCATCATTGTCCTATTTAAAATTATTACGCATGCAAACACTTGGCACATCTAATTCCTGGCCCAGGGTGAACCGTCAGAGCCCCTCCCTCCACCACTGTGATGAAATATGATCAGACAACCTTGAAGACCGACTTGGAATGGGGAGGCCTTCATCCAGCAGTGTAATGATAAAGGGCTGTTTATTATACGTTATTAATTTTATGGCATCTGAATCCTCTTATCCGAGCAATCCATAAACCAGTACCCAGTCCAAATTGAATTATGAATAATTGATAATGTTTTAAACGTGCTGCGTTTGCAATCTTTGGAGTATGCCGCACTACATTACTAGTGGCACCACGCTATGCACATATGCAGGTGCATAACATTAATAAGAGTTTAGACGAAACAATTATAGAAAGTACCGATCACAATATTTGAGACAGGTACAGTATTCATATGAAGGTCACATTCTATGAATGACTATATAACGTGACGTTGCACACTCACAACAAAAATAAATAAAATGTGTTCAGTGAGTAAAATGAGAAAGACATGCCCTTTCAAATACATAGCAGCGCATGAGGACATTTTGTAAACCATACATTTTACCGATACACTGTACACTGACCAAATCACCCCGAGACTAAGCAGTGTTGAGCCTGCATATCGTTTGCAAGTGCAAACAACTTAACGAAACAGGTGTTGTATGCTGCAGGATACATTTTGTGCAGCAAAGGGCAATGCAGCAAATCTATTATTGTACTGTACTTTCATGCTCCCACATTTATCCCGCCTACACCAACCAGCACTGATCAGAATGGTGAATTACGGCCAAACCCACATGACCCAAATGGCAAGGGAAGGCCCTTATCCAGCAGTGGACTGACAAATGGTTCTAGGTATACATGTATACACTCGTACAGGGTACAAAACAAAATACACTAAAGATGAGATTACCTTGTGAGAGTCCAGCTCACTTTTGAGCTTGTTTTGGGCCCATTTTATTTTGGAGGCACGAGAGTTGATTTCTTCTTTTTGTTTCTCGATTTCCTTGTTCAGTTTGTGAACATCTCCATCCTGAAATTAGATGATATATGCAATCAATAGGCATACGAATCGTACCATGTTTAAACTATTTATATTACAAAACATTCATACCCCATGCGGTAGCATAGGGCCTGGATCGATAGCACTAGTGATGATCGTTTTGTATCTTTATATAGCCTTTAATCCACTCTACCTAACCATGCAACACATCTAGAAATTGGAAGGCAAGCCCCCCCACCCTGCACCTGATAAGCATGATTCGCTACGTAATGTGTGAAAGAAGTTCAACATATAGGTCGAGGAATTTGTGCATTCTCTAAAACTGATATGACCATCGCATTAAAACATTTAATTCCATTCATTTTACTTAGAATGTAACTGCAAACTTGGCAAAAGAAAAATGAAATGGGTACAGCACGCTGATAATAATTAAGGATTTGTATTTATAGGGCACATGCTTAATGTCAATGCAACTCAAAAGCACCGAACATGTAATCTCATCTCAATCTTTTCAATAACCTGATTAGGTCGAAACAAGGTGACTCTCAGTGGCAACTTTCCCCGTGCAGAACAGGTGCATACAGCACCGGTTTGCAAATGAGCACGAGTCTGCCAGTAACATCTTGCAGTGAACGGATGAGCCATACCAAATGATTATTCATGCCCACTTACCCTGGCTTCATAGAGAGTGCCCAGACGCCCTTTCTCCTGGGTCAGCAGCTTCACCCTGGCCGTGAACTTCTCCATTTCCTTTATACTCTCACGCAGCTTCTTCTCCAGTCCCTCCTTGTCCTTGCGCAGGTCCAGCGCTTCCTTCTCCCCACGCACGTACTTCATGACCATGGCCTCTTTCTCCTTACGATCTTCCTCGCATCGCTTATTGGCCTTTATAGCACAGCAAATGCAAAACAAGTGTAAGTGTTAATTTTGACCGATGGGAAAAAACGCATCCCCGTCCCTTTCTATAAACACTCACTTAAATCAAGTAAATCACAATACAATTGAAGGCAAAATTAAATGTGTTTAGTATTACAAATTACGAGTTGCAATGCATGCATGTGAAACTGCCAATGTGAATTTTGAGTGCATAGTGAATGGTGCATGCAGAGTAAACTCCATGAACTCAACAACAACATTTACAGGATATAATTTTTTTAAATGTAATTCAAACACAGAAAATAATGGTTAGATGATATAACAGCACAGCTGATAAAACTACTAAAAACAAAAGGCTGTTGTGGACAAAATATTTCACACACAGTGTCATGACCCAACTATAACAAATTGTACTCATGAGAATATTTACACAAAATGAAATCTCCTCCAAGCTTAAAAATAATAAACATGTTTAATATCAACATGTGTACAGAAACACATGCTAAAATGATATATTCGCGTGGCTCTTTCATGGCATGAGCTTAAGCCCTATGCTAAGTTTTTACTGAAAACAGGATCTGGCCGAGTGATTTGTGTGCAAGAGGCTGCACTCTAAACAGACGCTTGGCACTTGAGATGCAGCCCCACCTGCTCCAAGCGAAGGGTCAAGTCCTTCTGGATCTGGGCCATCGCGCTCCTGGATGCCTGTTCTTGTGCAGCGAGCCGCTCCTTGCTCGCAGTCACCTCCTGCTGGTATCCCTGCAGCTTTTCTTCCAGCTAAAAAGAATACAAGAGACAATACTTAACCTGAATACCACCGTCCAGATATATTTGAAAAATATAATACAAGAGCATTGCCCTAGTCTCTTGCATTGCAAACCTATAACCAGCGTAGATTGTACAGCAGCTTTTGCCTCCCAATGCCATACGATTGGTGTGACAACTCAGACGGCGTGACTATATCTCACCACACTTGATCAGTGTGGGTTGGTGACCACAGGTAGCACATAAATGTAAGCATAGAGTACAACAATGGAGTTTGCTGCATTGCCCTCTGCTGTCCCCCATCTAAGCCCACAGCATATAACGACAACCTGCTGTGCATGGTGGTCATCTTCTAAGATCAATAACAATACCAATAAAGAATTTTTATTTTAATAATTAGAACAAATTACATTGTAATGTCATTGGAATAAATATTGATAGCTGCAGTTTCACAGTCCGTATTATTAAATATAATGCACACCTGCACATTTCAATCATGTCATAATGAACAATCCCATACTTTAGTTGTAAAAGGCAGCAGAAATAGAAATGTAGTATAATTCATTGATACCTGCAAGGTTGCAGATACTTTGTAAAAAAATGCTAATACCTGTTTAATAGTGGAGTTATTGAGCAACTCTGTTGCAATGTGTTTCTCTAAAGCTTCTTTCTGGTTCTTGTTCTCTGCTTGTAGCTCACAAAGCTCTTTTTGATGCTTCTGATCAACCACTGCCAACCTGGGAAGGATGAGATTAGCAGCCACACACAATGAAGCTGGTACACTTTGAATACATAAGCATACCGTTTATACCCTTACAACATTACACACTTATGGGAAAGTTCGCTGCACTTGGGAGCTTCAAAAATGTAAAAGAACATTTATTGTGGAATTGTAAACACAAACCTGCACAGTTAAATATATTAAAGTTAAAAAGTACCGAATGTAGGTGGAAAAGTACCTGTCGCCAGATGTTTAAATTAATGTTCTAGTCTTGGTATAGAAGCAATAAATTGAACATGTTACATGCCTTGTAATGATACACTGAACCTTACAGTTAACATGTGGTTTATACCTTAATCTGTGTCTCACCAGAAACATGTCACAAGGCTATCTATGATGAAATATGAAACCCTGTACATCCATTGCAGCATATTACAGCAGTTTGCTGTTAAATGCTAGGCAGCTTAAAATCCCGTATATTAAACATCAACAAAGACATAGATAAAACATTTTTTTACAATAAGCATACAAATTAATCTGAAAAACATTATGTACTGCACATAAAACAGCATTTCTAAAATAAAAATTACGTTTATAAAATCCACTGGAGCCAAATTAAAATAAGTTTTGTTTAAGAACGTATGATGCAATCCTGTAACTGTACAATCATAAAGTAATCTTAATAACGGCTTCTTTGTTGTAAAAAAGAACTGACATCTCCCTACAAATCCGTGGACAATTAAACCTTCACAAAAGCAAGGCCAAGGGTTTTAACAAAAGATAAGGAATTCAAAGTACAATCCAGTGCTGTGCAAATTGCTTACTTATTGATGGTTTCCTCTTGCAGAGAACAACGCAGTCTTAGAGTTTCCAGCTCACGCAAAGCAGCGGCGATGCTAGCTTCTTTTTTAATTCCATTAAGAACTTTTATGGTTGGAGGTAACTCAAGCTCTATGAGCTCCATCTCAATATCAGTTAACAATGCTTCTTCAGCAGGAACCAATTCAGGCGACGACTCAGGTGCTGGCTTCTCCGAGTCTGAACTGGATGCTTGTGCAGTGATATTTTCATGATTGTTTGTGTCAGCTTTTGAATCCAAAATGTCCGCATTGCAAACTGCTGCATGTGAAGAGTCACTATTCATCTCGACCACATTTGCGTCAGTACTGCTCTTTACAATTGCTTCGCTGTGTTCACCTTTAGCTTCTTCTACGTGGCGCGATTTGGTACAAAGTTCAGAGTTCAATTGCACTGCCGCAAGTTTTCCTTCGCCGAGGCTCTCATCTGGCTGCAATTCTGTTGTTGTTGAATCCTCTTTTTGAACATTTACATGTTCTGCCAATGCACCAACACCCACGGCTTGCGATTCGTTGGGCAGACATAATGCCTCATTAGGTATTGATCCTCCAGTGTGGTCTGGGAGCTGAAGCAAATTTGTCTTTTCCTCATCAACAACACTTGAAATGTCAAGTTGGCCCTCTGGTCGCACTTCATCACAAGAAGCTGTAGCCATGATCGAGTCACAATTATTCTCCACTGCCTGTGGCAACTTCCACGTGAAATTGCATTCCTACAAAAACAATCACATGTGCATACAACGAATTAGTCTCATGCAATAAACTTTGAATTACCTCACAAGGAAATAAAAAGGGCATTTCTAATCCATTACGCAAAATCCCAAAATACAGCAGTTTCCATCATTAGCTAGATATCATGTAAATGTATATTTTACTTAATAGTGACACAAAGCAAAATAACCTTTGCAGCTACATCTGTAGAATGTACCTCAGTTCCCATTTTACATTCGTTTACATAACACAGTGTGCTATGTGTTTAGTAATGTCACGCAATATACCAAGTGAATCAATAGCAACCGGCCTTTAAATATGACAACACATAGCAACTTTAGCTGGCCCTAACGAATACTTTATGATCATGTACAAGTTCTGCTTTATTTAGACATTGAACGACACATCAATAAAACAACTGCAATTTAAAAGTAGCCAACCTACATTTCAGTGGAACTTTTCCTTGTAGACGTTCACTTAAAATAACACTTTACATTTGTAAGGTGCAATTCATCTGTAGCTCGACTTAAAAATACAAAACAAACAATTGCTGGGCTTAATTTTAACCAAGGAAATATACACGAGTTTACATTGTTATACGTGCATTTTGGATTCAGTGAAGGACATGCATATAGTTTTCTTAATTTTCGTAGGTCAGGAAATGACAGATGATGTAATATCAAGCAAAGGGAGAATGAAAGCAGTCAAAATGATGTTGATTGGCAACTGATAATTTGTAGAAATTATGGCCAAAAATGGAATAGTAACTAATGACAGTGATGGAACCTGAAAACGAGTAGAATAATTTTATGCAGATCCAATTCAGAAGGAATTAACTACTGGGAATGATATCCGACCTTGAAGAAGAAAGCTGCTTAATTGGGCGAAGGATAAAATATGTAAGAAACAATACAAAGGTCATGTACGATAACGGCGTTAAATAACTGGAAATATCTGTCCGTGAGATACAACTGGAAAACGGAGCAGAATATACAGAGGACAGCTATTGAATGTGGACCAGAATCTAAATGGTTAAATATAGAAACGGACAAGTGCAGGTTGAAGTACGTTTTGAAAGTTGAACTTGAAGATGAAAACAACGTACCTATGTGCCTAAAGTACAATGTTTTAATCAAAACATATTATCTGCTGTCACATAACATGAATATTAATGAATAGAACGGAATAAAAACGTCTAAATGCACAAACTCTAAAGTGTGCTATATAGCATGAAGATGTGTGCTTGGAATCAAATTGAGACAAAAAGGAGCAAGGATTAGAGAACTTACCCAAGGTTAAAGATATAATTCTTAATAAAAGTAAGTAGCTTGTGCAGGATGCATCACTAATAGAGATGACGGCCGATGGTCAATAAAAACGATGGCGCGACAGTCAAGGGATGTGTAACTTGTCCGAGAGAACGCCGAATGGGGCAATGGAGTAATAAGATCAGAACGTGTGTCAGTGCGAGGTTGATTAAATAGCAGGATTAAGATTGCGATAGCTTCGAAATGCCTTCATCCAGAAGATGTTGACAATTATAAGTTCAATCCCAGTGCATGCTGTAAAATAAAAATCCATATCACACTGCTGTTAGGAAAGACATGGCCAGGGCTGGCTTTAAGCTCTGCTTTAAGATCCAGTTCTCAGATTATCCAGAACATCATTGGCTTTCGTCAATCCACTGTTGAATGAAGGCTTCCCTAAGCTGCCACCATCACTCACGATTCTATAATATAATTCATCACGAGCCAATTTCATCATTCCAACTCCTCGGATCCATTGTTCCCTTGGTTGCCACTCCGTCATTATCCTTGACCATCGACCATTATCTCTTCTAGCAACATTTATTGACGATGCTTAATTACTTTTGCTAACAGTTTGAATTGTCATTAAAATGTTCCCTCATCGGTGTGTTCTTCTTTCTGCCTTTTAAATGTGCACGTTTCAGTTTTTGCTACATTTTTGTTCACAACCATTTTCCTTAACAATGTGACGACAGGTAGCACACGCCGACCAAAAACGAAATACAATAAAATATGGATTGATTAAGAGTCTATAAGTGAACGCCTTCACGGGGCAATTTGACAAATATGAGAATATGCGCATCTAACGAGGATTGTGTTGAGCAGGGAATGTGAGGTTTAATGTTTCATGCCAGAGGGGGAGGAGTTTTGGTGACAATACTGTATATAAGTGCAAATGAAGGCACTTCATTGAGCAAGTTTAAGCCTGTGTAAATCTCACTATTGTTACCCACAATTTTCCATGGCAGCGTACTGTACGAGGAGCTTATTTTACATATTAGTTTCTGCATTGAACGCGTCTCAGTTTTCACACAGTGTTTGCCAAAAAACATGTGGCAACCCAGCAGTGTTTGTTTAAACAGCCTGCCACGGATGAGAGCCAGAAGGTCAGAGCAGCTCCACAGATTACCTAATTAAATGCTGCTGGATAGCGTGTACAGTACAGTACATCCCCTTTGTTAATCCACTGCTGCATGAGATCCTCTCCCCACGTCCTGACCTTACTTAAACCACGCTGGTCAGTTAACGAGTTGGTGAAAGCGCTGCCTGACACATAGGCTATGAACTAAAAACAATATTTGTGTATGTATGTGGAGTCGTATTTATTTAATTCATTACTGGAGAAAAAAAACCTGTTGACCAAAAGCATAAAGTGGTTATTTCCACAGTCCTATTTCTATTAGACATGCAGTACCTGCGCGTCTGCCAGCACGGATACGCTCGTCACACGTCACCACATTCCAACTATCAACAAACCCTCCTTGTACGAGTCACTCGAGGTTTGGAAAGACGAGGACAACGTTGTCACCAGCCTCGACTCAAAGCCACGTCAATAATGTAATTTGTGATGCGGCCATAAACGATCCCCATAGGACACTGTACAATTTGGTTGGATACGCTCTTTGATGGGAGTATGAATAGGATTTTAAAATACATATTAATGGACGGTATGGAATGAGGACTCGCACGCAACACGATAAAGAGGGAAACTAGCTGACAGCAGAGTCAGCCAACACGAATTGTGGAGGTGGAGGGGGGGGGAGCGGTGATCGTGCGAGGCCGGCGGCCTCAACCCCCTAGTAAGCCCGGCAGCCCACTTAGGCAAGCGCGGTGACGTGCCCTGCGGCCTATCCCACCACACGCGCTCGTCGGAACAAAATCCCCCCCCACATACATTCACCATCGTTCCTTCCCTCGTCGCTGTTGAAAGACACCTCGAGCGCAACGCGGAGGTCGCCGTGGATGAAGAAAGAAGGAGCGACTCACCGCGAAGACGACACCGAGACGTTCACTCCGCTCCACCGCGCGGAAGTAAGCTGGGGGGGGGGAGGGGGGGAGACCGACTTTGGATTTCGCAGATCGCATAAGCGCAACCCCGGCTCCACGGCGCCTCGCGATTGGTCGAGACGAGCTCTTTAACCAATCGCGAGCCGCCCTCCGCGTTGCTGCCGCAGCACGGCTCGTGATTGGGTTAAATAGGCCACACCCCCCCCCCCCCCCCCCGGGAGAGCAGCGCGCGATTGGTCGCCTAGGCTCGCGCCCCCTGCGCCCTCGACCAATCGGCGAGTCGCCTTTGGCGCAAGTCGCCGGTGGAGGATCGCGATTGGCGCGAGGTGCGCGTGAATCCCCGCCTCGCGATTGGTCTGTGGGGCAAGCGGTGCGATGGGTGGGGTGGGGGCGATAATCGGGCACGCCGGCTCCACCAATGGCGAGGCAGGGCGAGCGGGGCCGCTAACCAGCTGTATGAAATGCAGAGGGGAGGCGCGTGCCGATGCTGACCCCCCCCCCCGTCAGCTGTTGTTGTTACGTGACGTCACCGCGAGACACGAAGGGGAGTGACGTCACGGAATTAGACTCGGGGGGGGGGGGGGTGCTGAGCGGGGGCAAAGGCGCGGACCTGCAATTGCTTTGTTCTCGATTGTGTTGCAATCTAAACGTCGTATGCTAGTATTTAATTTATTATTTTCTCTTTATACGTGACTTTACCGAAAGAACCAAAGGGTGTGTTTGGCCTACTCTTCCACGCTATCCAGACGTCTTGGAAGAGGGCTGTTACATGGACAAAGCATATGTTTATATGTAATCAATTCTAGATTTGAAGCTTTCGTGACTGCAAGGATTCATACGCTTAGGTTTTTCCGGTAAAGCCACGTAGGTAAAAAATAAAATAATAATAAAAGAGAATAATACAATAAAATTTAAATTAAATAATAAAAATAATAGAAATAATAATAGCAATAAAATAATAAATCACGACGTTTCGGAGGCAACACAAGTCTCCGTCATCAGGTGGGACCGTCACAGCTAAATTTACTGTATCAAGTGAGGAACAATCCAAGAGACAATCACGTCGTGATTTATAATTTTATTTCTATTATTATTGCTATTATTTTTATTATTTATTTTTTACCTACGTGACTTTACCGAAAAAAACTAAGAGTATTTGTAATCAGTTCAACACGAAGGCTTTTGCGATATTCACAGAACACCTTGGAAGCAGGTGGTGGATTGCCTCTCTATACTGGCAAATCGCCCGATGATGCTGGTTGATGTAATTACCAGCGAAACGTCGGACTACTCAAATCTCAATGCAGTGGATGTACTCTCCCAACACCCCGGTGGGCTGAAGTGGTAACTAATTGGCACCACGTTGTGTTGACGTGACAAACATTACTTGGCTGTGCCGTGTGGGTGGAGGATCACCCGACACGTTTAACCACCCCCCCCCCCCCCCCATGTAATATGACTATACAACATTCAGGGGTGCATTAAGTCAATAAAGAAAGAGTTTTACCGTAGTGATTGTGGAATTTAGCTCGGGTTGGGGCACACCGAGAGGTCAGCAAGGAGGTCTCATGGTGCCTCTTGTTGGTTGGATCTTGACACTCCCCGTTCGGTCTGCAACGATGCGCTTTCTTCTACCCTTTGGTTCTTTAGGTAAAGTCCCGTAGGTATGAAATAAAGTAAATTAAATGACGACGTTTCGGGCGCTACACCAGCGTCCGTCATTGTGTGGGACAACCACAGCAGGAAACAATTTGGTGAAGGGGTCAAGAGGGCATCTGTGACTAGAGGCTGTCTAGGTAAGAGAGGGGGCCAGGGAGGAGAGATAGAAAGAAGGGGTGGTGCTCACTAGAGGGAATCTAAATTGATGTTCTTTGTGCTAACGAGGTCGCTTAACACTGTGGGGAGAGGCAGAAACGTCCTTGTTTGGTGCGCTCTGCTTATTGAAAGCCACCACGGAACTCCACTGCGCGCATTTCGATCAATATTCATCAGAATTTTTTAGGAAGACAACTTGGAATTCCCATTCAGCGACCAGGGTTACTCAATGTATGGCTCACTTTCTGGGGGGGGGGGGGGGGCAAAAAGCTGCCCCCCCCACCACATCTTTTATTATTCTACACCCGCGGTGGGGTGTTAGGAAGGAGGGGATAAGCCGATGGGATGTGTGCTGTTGGTAGGGGAAGCATAGAAGTGCAAAGCCGAAAGGAGTACTTCTTCTCGGGGTCGGTGGTCGTCGTGTGAAATGTCGTGCGGTGGGAACGAAGGCGCGGACAATTAGATAGGGGATTGGATGAAACCCAAAGATATTGTCCAGTATTCAGAGGGAAACAAGAATGGGCTGAGAAAAACTTGTAGAAAGGTTCTAGAAAGTCGGGAGCGGGAGGATATATAAGCTTGGGGCTCCGGGGATAGTAAGAAAGTAGCTGATGAAGAGCTACCTCCGAGTGTGTGTTACAGTACTATGTATGTTGGTGCCACCTAAACAGCACTTTCCCCAACAGTCTGCTAAGGCTATACGGGTACGGTTCTTTGTCTTGTATGTTGAACTTATTTTGCACCGTACGTAGCCAACCGTGATGAATCGGAGGTGCGGCAAATGTTCTTGGAACAATGGAGCTCCCTTGCCAAGACGACCCGTGTGGACTCGCTTTCATAAACAAAAACAAAAGCGCTGCCCAACACGGCCACGTTTCTGTCTGCGCCGGGGAGCCCCACGGCGACCTGTGTATGCAGCCCATGGACACATTCTGTCTGCCCCCTTGTATAAATGCTGTGGCACACGGCCACGCTTCTGTCTGCGCTGGGAGCCCCACAGCAGTTGTGTGCAGCACACGGCCACATTCTGTTTGGCTGTGCCGCGAGCAAATGCTGTGGCACACGGCCACGCTTCTGTCTGCGCCGGGAGCCCCACAGCAGTTGTGTGCAGCACACGGCCACATTCTGTTTGGCTGTGCCGCGAGCAAATGCTGTGGCACACGGCCACGCTTCTGTCTGCGCTGGGTGCCGCACAGCAACCTGTGTATGCAGCCCACGGCTAAATTCTGTCTGCTCCCTTGTATAAATGCTGTGGCACACGGCCACGCTTCTGTCACGGTTATGCTGCGTACAAATGCCGTGGTACACGGCCATACTGTTTGCTGTTGTACACCGGACAAATGCTGTGGTACACCGCCACGCTTCTGTCTGAGCTATGCTGAGTACAAATGCCGTGGTACACGGCCATACTTCTGTTTGTTGTTGTACACCGCACAAATGCTATGGTACACCGCCACGCTTCTGTCTGAGCTATGCTGGGAATACAAATGCCGTGGTATACGGCCATACTTCTGTTTGTTGTTGTACACCGCACAATGCTATAGTACACCGCCACGCTTCTGTTGTCTGAGCTATGCTGAGTACAAATGCTGTTGTGCAGGGCCATGCTTGTGTTTGTGGCTGTGCGTCGCACAAATGCTGTGGTACACCGCCCACGCTTCTGTCTGAGCTGTGCTGAGTACAAATGCTGTTGTACACGGCGCTGCACAAATGCTATTGTACACCGCCACGCTTCTGTTTGAGCTATGCAGAATACAAATGCCGTGGTACACGGCCATACTTCTGTTTATTGTTGTACACCACACAAACGCTGTGGTACACCGCCCACGCTTCTGTCTGCGCTGTACTGAGTACAAATGCTGTTGTACACGACGCCGCACAGATGCTGTGGTACACGGCCACCCTTCTGTCTGCACCGCCCGTGTATCCCCCCCCCACCCCTTCAAGTTGAACGCTCGCGATGACGTCAGACCCAAGTTACAATCCCCAGAGCGGATAATCGACATCCACCCTCGCGTCTCCGCGCGCGATTGGACAGAGGCGCCGTCACGTGGGCGCGACGGACCAATGGGCGCGTGCGCGGCGGGAGAGAGAGAGAGGGGCAGCAGCGTAAGCGGGCTGGGAAATGTGAAGCGTTCCGCCAGCCCGTTCTCTCCTCGGCGTCCGTCTCTTGCGCGTCTCACTTCGCTCTCGACCGCCCAACCACCGTCTGTTGCGTCTGCGATCGCCCTCCCTCGAGGTACGAGGAGCGTCTCGTGCAACGCGTGCTCGTTTCGTCGGCGACGCGCATCGACTGTTTGTACGCAGCTGCGGTGTAGGCCCGCCTGAAGCCACGTCCTTGCCTGGATTCCCCGCCGCGCGAGGTCGCACTGGGCCCCGCGGGACGGTGTGGACGGGTTGAGGGTCGGGGAGGGGGTAGTCTCTTCGAGGTGAGCGGGTAGTAATCGTCGGATTTCAGTGTAAATCGGTTGAATGTTGATGTTTTTGTTTGTGCCGTCACTGAGTGTGTCTCAAGAGTCGTCGGGGAAGGCAAATTAATATAATAATGATGTCATGTATTCAGGAAATCGTACGGTGTTCCCAAGACTTTGAGGAGGATCTTGCTCTGTGGTGTTTGACTAATTGCTTTTTGATTGGTGTTTTGCGTGTGGTGCATACGAGGGCAAACAATTCAAATCAATCTAATGTAATCATGACATCTCCATGATGTGTCAAGACATTAATGATGTTCTATCACTCCGATCATTTTCCCTTCCACTTATTGGTGTCTCCAAAAGCGCTGCAGCAGATTTGCGCTGAGACCACGTACTGTACACTAAAAGTGCGCAAACCACATCGTGGAAGGTTGTGGTTTAGGGGTAGTGTAGTGTTGGGGTCAGTGAAAGGGCTTTTTACTATCGCGGGTAAGTTGGTTCGGGGTAGGGTTACCATTCGGTAGGTGAGTGCGTTCCGCCCCTAAACTATTTCCATTACAGCTCCGCATTGCAACGTAAGGCATTTGCAATTTTTGGCCGCGTGCTTCTGATGTTTATAGCGCCACCAACGTCTTGGGGTGTATGTTTGTCGCGCTGCCTTTGCGTTACAGGGGAGAGCTGGGTGCAGTGCTTCGTAATTGTGTTGGTCTATTTCACAAGACTATACACGAATACACGTTCGCTGCTGGTTTCATTTTAATGAGGTGAACTGTTGAAACGTTAACGACTCGCACAACAGCAGTGCAAATGCCAGGGATTCCTCATAGTTAGCCGTCGGATCCTGTCTCGACCACTGCTTTAATTGTACAATGGCCCTTGTATGTGTGCGGGTATTACGTGCCAGCGCTGACTCTGCGTGTTACATTCCTGGCATCCGTGGGATGTGGAGAAACTGTGACAATGCTTAACACGGCAAGCTTGAAATTTGTAATGCAGCTGGTAGTGAATTGGAAATTATTGCATTGTATTTTAAACTAAATTGAAACTTTGATTTAACATTTCATTTTCGATTTAAAGCTTTCGTGACTGCAGGGATTCATCTTCTTGGTTCTTTCGGTAAAGTCACGTATTTATTACTTCCCTTCTACGTGACTTTACCGAAAGAACCAAGAAGATTAACATTTAATGTTTACCTTTGTGCGAAGTTATGCGAGTACAGTAGTTTCCATCTCGTGACTGCTGCCAAGTCTGGTTGCAGGGATTTTTTTCTTTGAACAGCAGCCAACAAATATGAAATCCTAAATGTTTAAGTGGTCGGCCTCTGGAGATTGGCGATGGGATGATGTATGAGTTATTGTGCTGATCGCTCTGACGTGTTTTAGTGTTCTCTGTTGGTGCCAATGATCCATTCTAATTGGTTATAAGGGATGTTTCACTTCTCACATTGAAAGCTTTGTATTGATGATGAAAGCAGTCTTTGGGTTTGCTGTCTCCATGTCACAATTGATCTATTGCTGTTAAGTGCATGTGCTTTGATATTCCCAGAGGTTGAATTTTACTTGTAAAGCTAACAATCCAGCGTATGTGTTTCAGTGTACTTGCTATATTTCACACATATGCAGACATTGGTTTGAGTGCTGGTACTTAACTGATTAACAGTAAAAAGGTATTGCATTACAGAAGAGAGACATGCTGCAAAAATCCTTGATTGTTTTACGTTCTTTCCTCACTCCTAGGTCTATTAGATTTTGAAGAACATCAGTCTGGATTTTCTTGTGATCAATGGATACCATAGCCAACTTCAATGATCTCACTTAACACAGAATTGTGGACCGCATAGTTTTATACATGTAAACGTACAACTCCGAAGTATACGGAACTGTTCGATACTTGTGATCACCCGTAATCGTTTGAAAAACATCTATTAGGTCTCCAAAATTTAGCACCTAGCAAGGACCCTACATAAGCACCAAAATGAGTGCCAGCAACAGCTCTTTGAAGAAAGAACCCAAAAAGGACTCGGGTGGTGGCCAAGGGCAGGTGGCGTTTGTTGTAGACAATACTATCAAACGTCCCAACTCGCAAATCCCACGGAAGAAGTCTTCCAACATGGAAGTGGTGAAGGAACTTAACAAGTGCAAGGAGCAGAATGCGACCCGACTGGACTTGGCAAAGCGTTCCATCGCAAGTTTGCCTCCAAACATAAAGGTATCCGAAGTGTGTTAAGAAAATCTAACATTTTAAATCACACCTGCTCGTTGTGCAAAATGTGATAATCTTGTTATACATCCTAGCACAAATATAGTTTTTTAGTTCAAGTTAATTTTCTGTTGAGAAAGTTGTGTTGGTGATTTGTTGGATATCACATTGCAGCTCAATATGTTTGGGAGAGAGTAGCTATGTTTGTGCAGAGCACGGACTTTACAATGAATGTGTGGCGCATGCACATAGAACTTATGGTTCATGCAGCTGTTTGGACAGTGTGGTCAGCTGTTAGCCTCTTGGACATATTACAGCAGTCGAGGGATACTAAATCTTAATTTAAATGTGCAGAGCTTGTAAAAAATTGGATGAGTCGTATTTTTTATATACAGTGCCCAACATTATTATAGGAGCAAATAAATACGTTGTATTCGTTTTGGCTTTCACTACTTTTGTTTTTAAAATATTCACCAGCTAACTGATGATGTGTTGTTTTTCAGGAGCTGACACAGCTGACAGAGCTGTACCTTTATGGAAACCGTCTTCCTTGCCTACCGACAGAGATTGGCTGTTTGGTGAACCTGGTGACTCTTGCGCTCAATGAAAACTCACTGACCGGCCTCCCTGACACGCTGACAGGCCTCACCAGCCTGCGCATGTTGGATTTGCGCCACAACAAACTGAGATCTATTCCACCGGTGGTCTACCGTCTTACTTCGCTCACTGTGCTGTACCTGCGCTTCAATCGCATCACTCAGGTGATAAGACTTGTTGTCGTTTAAACATGCTGGCTGAAATGTAAAGTACGGTAATAATGAATTGGACTTGGAAAGTGCTCTTAATTTATGGATCACAAAGTGATGTATACGTTTTATGTACATTTTTTTGCAAATGTTTACTATTCTAAAGCACATGGACCAATTCAGCTTCATATCACCCACTGAAATATTTACAATAGTTTTGTAATTAATTGCAAAATTCTACGTTTTTCAACAATGAAAGGATTATTTCTGGAGCGTTGAAGCATTTTTGTTACACTGTTTTCACTGCAGGTGGAAAAGGACATTGGAAACTTAAGTAAACTCACCATGCTGAGTGTTCGAGAAAATAAGATCAAGCTGCTCCCAGCTGAGATAGGTAAGGGGTGACCTGAAGTTTTAACAATCAAAGTAACACGATATTTGATTGAATACAAACATGTCAAAAATATATTAATCCTACATTGTCAACACCACCACAGTAACATTGTATTCGTCAAAAATTCTGTATTAAGATTTCAGATTTATTTAAAGTATATATTTTGCCTATTACAATTTAAACATTTACAGAAATTAAGTAATGCAATTACATTAGCGCAATACAGAGGGACTGCAGATGAGTAATGCATTTCTCTTGTCACATTGTTCAAACCAACCCACACATTTGTGTCTGAAAAATGTTTAACTAAAATAGCACAAATGAATTCTTTAAAGTAGGTGTGTGGGTGTATGAAGTAACCTTTAATGTATAACTCTAAACTTTGGACTGTACAGTTTGAGGTTATAAAGTTGAACTGTTCTTTGTTTTTAATGCAGCATGTATACTATATTGCCAGTTGTTAGTATAGTAATTAAGTTTATTCTCTGCAGTTCTATTCGTTAATTGTATTGAGCTGTTAATTTTCAAAAGGCTTTTAAAAATATTGTATTTGAAAAAAAACCTAGAAAAGAGATGGCCCTTTACACCACAACTTAACAGTCCCTATTACTTTTCAGAAAGAGGTATTGTAAGGATAACATAAGCTTACCTTGGCACCTATGTGGCCACAAATGAGATGTGTAACCATGATGTCATGCCTCACTGACTCAAGATAGTTGAATAAGGATGAAGTATACAAACGTCCATGCTATAAACCACTTAAATATATAGGGAGGGAATGTAATTTGCAGGTGAGGCATGAAAGTCATCCAATAGTTTTTAAACAGTCTACTACAGTTTTAAGCATGTGGTAAGATAATAATGTTGGGTGCCTAGAATTATTGGCAAAGTAGTTTTGACTTGCTCAGCAATTCTAGTATTTCTTGTTTTCGATATTTACACCGTAAGCACTAAAACATTTTGCATTCTTTTGTTTTCCAGGAGAGCTGAGGAGTTTATTGACACTAGATGTGGCACACAATCAACTGGAGCACTTGCCAGAGGAGATTGGGAACTGTGTACAAGTCACCAACCTTGACCTTCAACACAATGAGCTCCTTGACCTTCCCGACAGTATAGGTAAGATTTAAATCGGTCACTCAAACTTTAACAGAGTGGCCCTTCACGATAAAATTGTCACATAGAGCACTTCACGTGTAAACATAACATTACATGATTAAAATTTGAGATTCAGTATTCCCTCGTTGTTCGTGATATTGGCTTATGAAAACCTATCCTTTATCTCATCACTTGATCTCATCACTTGATCTCATCACTTGATCTCATCACTTGATCTCATCACTTGATCGCATCACTTGATCTCATCACTTGATCTCATCACTTGATCGCATCACTTGATCGCATCACTTGATCGCATCACTTGATCGCATCACTTGATCGCATCACTTGATCGCATCACTTGATCGCATCACTTGATCGCATTACTTGATCGCATTACTTGATCGCATCACTTTATCTCATCACTTTCTCGCATAACATTCTCTCTCATCACTTTATCTGATCGCTTTCTTTCTCTCTCAATGCAGTCGTGTAGAGTTCCAGATGCGATTCGCGGATGAACAAAATCATGGATAGCAAGTTCTTGAATAACAAAGGGAATACTGTACACAACATAGTATAGAGTATACAAAGTTCAAATATATAAGAGATTATAAAATACATTTATCATAATTTAAAAAAACCGCTACACCTTCCTTATCAGATGGTGTCCATGGTGCACTCCGTTTGAGCACAACATCGATCAGCACGGCGCACCACGAACACCCTACGTGCAGGAACTGGATTGAGCTTCCTGATACTCGGAATACGATTCCACAAACCATGGCTATGCACCCATAAACTTGGACTACGAACCCACAAACCTAAATTGGCAACCCAGTAAACCGAGACCACGAGACCACACACGCAGACTAGAAACCCACAAACCTGGATTTATTAACCCACTCTTGAGCGAGAAAGCTAATTCCATGCACAAACCGATCATCAACGACTGATGTCAAGCCGTCAGACAAATCACCCCACAGGGAATTGTGTTAGACCAAAGAGATTGGTCTTCAAACACAGTTGATTGCAATATAACTCTATCTGTGATCATTTTAAGTTGTTAGTATCCAATTATGCTCTGTTATAGCGGGACAATGGTTGTTTTGCACCTCGCATCAAATATAATTGTGGCTTGCATAAGAAAATTGAGAATGCTGTAGAGCTTTATATGTATTAAGCATGTACTTTGTATTCTTCCACCATCTCTTTATCTGTGAAGGATAGTAAAAACAAAGATAACCATGATAAAGTCCCATGCTTAACCTATTATTGCAACAGTTTTTGTTCATTAAATGTAGGAAGCGAAAGCCAGGGATATAGGTTTGAGAGGCATGTGAAATAGTTTATCTACACATCCTGCCATGACAAAATGTTATCCTTGTTGATTGTCTGACATTTTAACTCAAGTTACTATTTTTGTTTTAAATTTAGCATTGTGGGTTGATCCTTAAGGTACATTTGTAGCTACAAAAATACACTAGCACATCAAGTCAGTACAAACCAGTTTTTTCATGAGAAGTGATGTCGTCACACTAAATAGGTTTCTGTTCAGAATTAATTTTCAACAGTGCAACAATTATAGTGTTGCTCTGATTCTTTGCCAAGTTTCTGAGACCGTTAGTTGCACATTATGGAGGATGGTGTCAGTAAGTTTTGGCAGTTCAGCATTTTGCATTTAAGTTTCGGAGAACTTTTAGACGGCACGGTAGGACCACTGCCAACTTTTTTTTTATACGCACAAAACACTGGTGTTTTTAGCACAGTGTGCTGATTAGTGAAACGGTATTGAAACCAAATACTGTTCTAACCCCCATGGGATGGCACTACACACAATGTTTTCCTGCTGTATGTCTGTAAATCATCAGTGAATATAAAGGTTTCTTTAATTTGGTCGTGTTTTCTTGGGCTGTAAAAATGCAATCCAAACATTTAATGTAGAGAACCACAGAGGAGTCAACTTTGAAAACTGTATCTCATGCCATCATGTATTTTATGCCATAAAGTGATATCTATGCACAATTGCAGCTGTTGTATAAAAATGTATTGCATATTGATAGAATGATAATGATGATACTGTAGCTTTTAAAAAATACTTGGCAAAGTACTTTGGCACAAACAAGTATATTTATAATAATTACAGTTCTTTGCCAATCTACTGCTGGATGAAAGCCTCCCCACTGTGGCAGTCATGGGGATTGTTTGACCATACTTCATGCTTATTCTTGGTTCTTTCGGTAAGGTCACGTAAATAGTAAAAAAAAATCTAAAAATTTAAGTAAAATAAAAATAATATAATAAATGCTGTTTAGTAACAGTTCAGATATCACTTGCCACTGATGTTAGCCATCTCTGGGAATCAAACTTGGTTTGCGGTGTTCATAATGCAGTGTCCTCGTGCTTTTTCCCTCCATATTAAGCATATTTGTATAACATCTAAAATTAAATGGTGCTTATATGCTATTATAAAAGTTTATTATGCTGGGAATACACCACTCAATCGTCTTTCCATGTTATGGCATTCAAGTGTCTTGCATTTCTGAATGGACAGTTTTATTATATTTTGGTTGTATTTTACATCCTATATTTGATGGTAAGGGAAATTAATAAATATAATATTAAATCGGTTTGTTATCCTTGGTTATTTTAGATAAGCCATTAAAGTTGAATGACCAAAAAGTACACATACCTGTATACATTGGGAACACGAGTTACATTTGAAAATGTGTATGCAAATGTGTAAGGTGCAAAACTAATTACAAATGTTCTTGCCTCAACAGGTAACTTGGCAAGCCTGAACAGACTCGGTCTGCGATACAACCGACTCTCTGCAGTGCCCACGACCCTGGCCAACTGCACCGAGTTGGAAGACTTAAACTTGGAAAACAATAACATCTCCACTTTACCAGAGGTGTGTGTGATACCTAAACCCATTACTTACACTTTTTTTTATTCAATATTATATAATCGCCTTCTGGGTGTGGCTGTTTTTGCACTGTAACATAACACTGACATGTGTAATCCACCTCCAGGGTCTTCTTTCAAGCCTGGTGAACCTCAGCAGTTTGACCCTAGCCAGAAACTGCTTCCAGGCCTATCCCGTGGGTGGGCCCTCCCAGTTCACGACGGTCTATTCCCTCAACATGGAGCACAACCACATCGGCAAAATTCCCTTCGGCATCTTCTCCCGTGCAAAAGCCCTCAGTAAACTGAACATGAAGGTAAATACGACGAGGGTGTTGTGGTGAGCCACTTTTCACATTTAAGAGAAAGTATATTCCTGCCAATGGAATTGTGCACCGAAGTTAATTAACTGGCGCTGCCGTGTTGCTTCTTAGGATAATCAGCTGACCTCCTTGCCTCTGGACATTGGCACCTGGAAGAGCATGGTGGAACTGAACTTGGCCACAAATCAGCTCACCAAAATTCCAGATGACATCTCAGAGCTGACATCTCTAGAGGTCGGTGTAATTCGCTGCAATTAAACACGAAACCTTTTGCATGTAATAACGCTCACTGTGCACAAATATAAGATGACACTTTTTCAGGTTGTTAGGTTGTATAAGTCGTTCAAATTTTTAACTTTGCACATTTTTGTTTCAGATACTGGTGCTGTCTAACAACCTTTTGCGGAAACTGCCTCATGGTTTGGGCAATCTGCGAAAGCTGAGGGAATTAGACCTCGAAGAGAACAAGTTGGAGTCTCTGCCGAATGAAATCGCTTACCTCAAAGACTTGCAGGTTCGTGGTGGCTCTCCATGAGACCCTATTTATGTAAAATATCCTCATAGAAAATGTTAAGCTGATCACTAATTGATAATTACCCTGGTTTATTGTTTATGTATTACAATTGTTGGCAGCATTCCATTGCCCACCAATTCTGGCTTTCTGTGGCATTTTATCAAATGTCGCCATGGTCTTCTAGTTGATGATTACATTAATGTTTTGAAGTGTTGAATGTGTTTCCATGGGATAGCTTCCTGTTTTGCCTCTGTTCTAGTAATGAATCCAGGTTTTATCTCTAGCTACATTTTGTGATAATTTCTTTTTACTCAAATGGCTTCAAAAATCTGTTGAAAAAAATTTCACTTTTGCTATTTAATTGGTGTCTGCATTTTGGGGACCCAGACCAAACTGACATGCCCAGGTTTTCAAGCGGGATCATTTGGCTCTGATATACCCAGCAAAACTTGTCATACTTCTTTGGATATTACAACTAGATCCTCCTCTTTTTCACATTTCTGCGGTCGTTGCTTCCACTGGATGTCTTAAGTTGAGGGTCTTCTGAAATATAATTTTTTCCATCTACACTTCTTTTTTTCACCACAACCTGACTTGTTACACTGTAGGTGCATCGTCTACATTAATATCCAACATTGTCTCATGGATCCATTCCTACATTATTGAGGACTTCAATCACTGATTTGTGCTGCAATGTATTCAAATCCGTAATTCACCCAAACAATCTTAAACTGCTGCTGAGCTGGCATTTGGCATTACACTGAACTGAAGCTTTGGAGAAAATAATAACAAAACACTTTGCAACGTATCCACTTGCCAAGCTCCCATTTCGATTACTCGGGTGGATAACTTTGCTGGCGTACCTCGACTGTTATAAATATGCCTTTAGAGTTTGGCTGCTATGCCTTTCCACGTGATATGCTACTTCGTTGAGCTATCATTTCTGGCCAGGTTGCTTTTGAAAAAAATCTGTATAGCTCAGTGGGCCTTACCTGATAACATAAAAACTGGATAGTTTGTTTATACCTTACATGAGTTTATGTAGATATATGGTAAGGCCACTGCTTTGGGGATATGTCCCTGAAAAATGCGACGTTAGGCGAAACAATGTGAATCTAAACCTAGTTTACTATTGACTTAATGATATAAATGTAGCATACGTTCCTGGGGGTTATTTATTTCATCAATTTGCAGAAAACATAGAAGTATAAAAAAATAAATCTAACAAGATACCCACGAAATAGTTTATAACAAGTTTATATAAATAATGAGTCCTCACCAGAGATGGCAGCGGAGATTGCATTCAGTATAGAGTGGCGATGTTGTGAACTGTGGCTTTAGCGGCCACTAGGGGGAGCCGTGGCGTTGTGCGTCGTCACGTGCGCTGTCCCAAACGATTGCGTTCTTTACTTTAAATGTTCAAAACAACGTAATAAATCAAATGCATTTTAAATCGAATTACGTCCCCCAATTCGTTTGGGAACGTTATAGTGAAACGGCTTGTATAGGAGCAGCGTAAGTTGAGGACTTGGTGTACTGCATCGTATTTGTTCTGGAAAATCAGTTGGTATTCCAGAAGTCCAAAATGTGCTGGTAATTATATCGTTCCCTTTGCGGTGCCTACCAGGCTAGAACAAAAAAACCTACAATGTCTTGTGTGATACAGTCCTATACTATAGTTTTGCATTTATACAATGGCTGCTTTCTGCTGCATATATTTACTCTGGAACAGAAATTAGTTCTGACAAACAACCAGCTGACTTCTCTGCCAAGAGGAATCGGTCACCTCTGCAGCCTAACACACCTCATGGTTGGGGAAAACCAGCTCACCCATGTCCCAGAAGAAATAGGTAAGTCCATTTTTTATCATGGCAATATGTTAATAAAGCATCAGCATTGAAAATGTAAGCGTATTTACCCATAACTCATGTGTTGCCAAGAACAAACCTACACACGTGGAAGTGCAGTGCTAACACTGATGGAAACTAATGCACAGCTCGGTAAGCTTGATTGTAATGCAGTACAAGCTGGATATAACCAATACATTCTTACATTACACTGGTGGGGGGAAGGCAAAGGGCAACTTCAGATATAAGCACACTTTGGATATAAGCACAGCTAGAATTGCTCCCAAGGGGTGTGCTTATATCTAGCTTCTACTGCACTGGTAATAATGCCCTATATTTATCCAGGAAAGGCTGACCTGAGCCAATAAATTCAAGAGGGCCTTGGATTGTGATGTGTGACAAATCCATTCGGGAAAAAAAAATTATGTGCTTGATATAAACCCAGAAAACCTCACCAAATCTCGGGCTATTTTTCAGGCGGTTACAAAACGAGTGGTTGGCTCAGTTGTGTATTTATCTGGCTTTCTCTGGCTTGCAGGAACGCTGGAGAACCTGGAGGAGCTGTACCTGAATGACAACCCCAACCTGCACAACTTACCCTTTGAGTTGGCCCTTTGTTCAAAGCTGCTCATAATGAGTATTGAGAACTGCCCTCTGAGTCAGCTGCCTGGCCCCATTGTGAGCAGTGGACCTTCCTTCATAATACAATATCTGAAGATGCAGGGCCCTTACCGTGCTATGGTCTGAGTTTATCCCAGCAAGACTGCAGTGATTCTAGAACGATTTACAGGGGACTAAAATATGCAAGTATAAGATCCGCTGTGATAAAAAATTATAACCCGTTTACTTGTTTTTGGATGTGGCCTGACAATTATATGCAGCTTACTTTTAAGACATGAATTTACATCAATCTATAATACTGCTTTTTATTACACTACTATGTTTTATGAGTCATCTTAAGGTATATACAGTAATTTAATATCCGAAGTCAGTTGCTAAAATAAGTCAGTAACGTTTTGCACGTGTAAATGCATAACTTGACGGCAAGTGCTTCCAGATGCACCACAATATCAGCATCTTGACTGATTTTCAACCTCTCATTTATCAGTTCTTGCTTGACCTGTGAATTTCCGTAATTTTCTCCATATTTCTGGCCTTCTGGTTAGAGGTTGTCAAATTATTGGTGTATTTTGTTTCTATTATAATTACAACTACATTTTTTCTAAATTGTTTCTGCTCTTGGCCATACTGTCTTGTTAAAACACAGTAATAGCTATTGATCATTTACACGGTTTTCACTTGAGCACTTCATATCAGTTATCTTTTGAAAAACTATCATTTTGGCAGTACTGTACTAAATGCATCAAAGGTTCTAGAATTGTTTGCACCAGTGTAAATATGTGACATATCTTCTGCGTCTACTGTAATAAATGCATGACTGTTTAATCTGAAGTAGTATATAAATATTTTTTATGTAGCTTATAGTTTGCTAGACTAATAATAGGCATTATGGTAATGTAGAGGCGGAGTGGTTAGTACTGTATTTTGCTTTTAAATTCAAACTGCTAACTGTGGGGTGTCTGTAACATAGCGTGTACGTATTTCACTGGCAGATATTGGCTAAATGGAGCTGAAACCGAAACTTTGTATTCATGATTTAAACCACAGTAGCACCAATGGGCCGTTGTGCAAGTTTAAATTTTAGCATAAAGAAATACAATAACGCATTATAGGTGCTGGTGTTTGCGATACAGCATGTTTGTGTAATTCCTGCCCCAGTTACACTTGGATAAGGTTTTTCTGCATCGTTATTACGTATTTGGTTGTATGGTTTTTGATCTTGTTGAGGGTTTTTAGGAATTTAAATCTGTAATCATTTGACAGCTCAAAAAAGTGTAAATCTGTACAGTACATTATTACATTTGGTTCTGCTTGTTTTGTGTTGATCTGTTTGTTGGTTAGGTCTAAACACCTACTTTTTCATTTAGACATTGTGGTGTTCATTTGCCTTTTGTAAACAATTTTCCAAAGATTTATTTTCTGCCTCTTCTAGCTAATTCTTATATTGGCCTTCTGTTGCAAAAAAACAAACATATATACTGTATGTACACAGGAGCAACTTTTTTGCATTTTTCATTATACCATTGGAGTTTTACAAATTGAATACCCTTAATTTTAATTATGAAGGTGTTCTACTGTATGTACTGTATGCATGTAATATAGGGTTTTCAAAATAATCAAATGCAGTTAATTTAAACGTGTTCAGAATTTGAGACAAGCGTTCATTCTTAAAATGCCAAAATGTTGTGGTATGGCATGTTTTGCAGTGGCACCAAAGGTTTTACATTGCAATTTGGATCATGTAGTATTGGAAATAATTGGGACTTTTTAAACATTGTAATCACTAAGTAGATAATGCAGCTGCTTGTCTTCGCCATGAGGTTTGTGCTTCGTAAATGTATGCCATTTGTAAAAAAAATGTTTAACGGATTTTTCTTGAATTACAAATGACCTGCTACAAGTGGTGATGCCATAAAAGCTTAAGCATCTGAACAAATTGCTAAGCACACTTAGTAAAAACAAGTTTTGTGCATTTTGTAATTTTCAGTCGTACAAGTAACATTAAAAAATGTAAAACTTCGTGTTTTTATATTTTATTGTATTTAAGTGAACCTGACTGCCACTTCAGTCGGTGCAGCAGAACTCCAATACTTTGCGGTGATGTGGGGTGGGACCTCACCTGTAAATGCGGCACTGAAAATTCCCATCAATGATACATCGCAGATTTTAGCCACACAGCTACATTAATCCACAACAAAATATGAATATCAGGATAAACCACTCCAATAATCAGTGAAAATAACGGCGGATGAGTTGCCATTTTTCCCCAAAAACCAAATGCGGTAGTCTTGTTTGCCATATGGGTCTAAATTGTAGAATTTAGCATTGGTAAATATTCAATCGTAAAAAAATACACTCCAGTACCCAGAAGATAATAGCAAAGCTGGTCTGTGCAACTCAACCATTTTTAAATCATTTATATTAAGTTCGCTTGCTTGCATGCGTGCTTGCTTGCTTACGACCGTGCAAACCTTTCGGTCGTTTTTTAACCCACTTCCCGTGATCCAATCGAGCTGACATTTTGCACACAGACTCGTGCGAGACAATTAATGTTCGTGAAAATTTTTTTCCAAAATTTTACACTGTTTAGGGAAAACATTAAATATTTAATTACCAATTGCTTAATACTGGCAGACAATCATCTGACCCATAGGTGGCAGCCATCTCAAGCCAGAGGACGAGAGGACTCTAGCTGCCACGCCTATAAAGGATTTATAGTGAAAAACTTTGTTTTTACAGGTTATACTTATTTCCTCTCCATTTGTCTCTACATGTTTCTCGAGATATCAGACACGTGTTTGAAACACTTCAAACACACTTGGTTGTTTCACCGCACCTCTGATTAGCGTTGGATACATACGGTGTGAAAGAAGTCCAAGAATAAACACGCGTTTGTCGCAGGCACCACGATGGGAATTTTGTTGTGTGGCGAGCACATTTTTGGAGGAATTGGCTGTATATCATCCAAGGACTTGTAGTTTCTAGGAATTTTTATCCATTCCAAGAAGAGATGCAAATATCCGAGTAAAATGAGGATTGTTGCCTTTTCAAATTCCTCATCCTAGTTTACAAATCTCTCTATGGTCTGGCCTCAACGTATCTCGCTTCTTTCCTTTCGTTCTGCACTCCTCACCCCCTCTGTGTTCACAATCCGAGCTGCCTGGTCCCCCCCCCCTCCTGCCCAATCACGAGTCCGTTCTCTTCTCACCCCCTTACACTGGAACAAGCTGTCCCGACACAATCCGATTCACTGTCCATATTTCGTTCTTCTCTTAACTCACTTATTTTACTGGTAGGAACCTCCTGGTTCCACCAGCCCACGGGATTATGGGAGGGGCGGGGCTGGGTGGAGAGGGTAGGGAGGGGGCAGGGAGGGGTGGGGGCTGGGTGGGGAGGGGTGGGGGCTGGGTGGGGAGGGGTGGGGGCTGGGTGGGGAGGGGTGGGGGCTGGGTGGGGAGGGGTGGGGGCTGGGTGGGGAGGGGTGGGGCTGGGTGGGGAGGGGTGGGGGCTGGGTGGGGAGGGGTGGGGGCTGGGTGGGGAGGGGTGGGGGCTGGGTGGGGAGGGGTGGGGGTGGGGGGGGTGGGGAGGGGTGGGGGGGGTGGGGGGGGTGGGGGCTGGGGGGGGGGGTGGGGCTGGGTGGGGAGGGGTGGGGTGGGGGGGGTGGGTGGGAGGGGTGGGGGCGGGTGGGGGTGGGTGGGGCTGGTGGGGGGGGGTGGGGCGGGTGGGGGGGGGCTGGGTGGGGTGGGGTGTCACGGGTGGGTGGGGTGGTCACCGGTGGGGGGCTGGACCGGGTGGGGTGGGGCTGGTTCACCCGTGGTGTGCCCTTATACAACTCAACGTTTAACCTACTCACGCCGGCTTGTGCCCGCCCTCACAGTCGGCCATATTTGCGGAATACACCACGCCGCCGTTGACCCTGGCCATTGACCGAGCAACCCAACGTTCCTACCAGCTCCCTCCGCAGGAATGTGTTCCCTCGCTTACCCAAACTCCCCATCATTAACACCGTCATTCCTCTTCTCAACTTCCCTCGCCATTCATTACACTCGCTCATCATTGATCACTCATCGTCACTTTTATCATCGTTTATTTCACGCATCACTTCTGTACAAATAGCTAATTCCTTGTTCAGCAACTTGGTCAAAGAATGCAGATGGAAGCAAGTTTTATTAGTCGCACATGACGTGCGAAACATTTGAGAACAATCCAGTTGTAGTTATAAACTGCTTGACCGGAAATTTACTGCAACAGTATATATATTCTATTTCAATGGAGTATTGTTTGTAACATTCTAATTTGTGATTAGTGTCAATGTACAGTGCATCGTAGAGTAAGCAGAACCTCTAATATAAGTAATAAATTACAACCCTTTGCCAATCCACTGCTTAACACCTCCCCACCCCGTTGGGTCACGGAGGTTGTTTGACCATACTGAGTCACGGCTGGTCAGTGAAGGTGGGGGATGATCCAGGACTGGTTCAGATGCCACTGATGTTAGCCATGGCCGAGAATCAACCTGGCCGCCGGGTTCATACCACAGTAAGCTAATCACTGCACTACTCGCACACAAAAATATATACAGTATAAATAGATGTATACATTAACAGCTGGGTGAGCATCTCCAAACTAAACCCAGGATTGAAAAATATTCACAAATTTACAGAAAAATGACATTTATTATATACACTGTTAAAATTAACTGTTTTAAAAAACCTGCTACAGTAAATGTCATCACGTGAGTAGAAGAGGGAGTTCAGGAAGGGCCAGCAGCTCTTCAGCTTCTTCCCGCAACGCTTCAGCTTTTTCTGTCAGCAAGAGCTGGAAAAAAAAACAAACGCAGATGAGGCTTAGAATCAGAATATTTATACCGAGGAATCCGATGAGCTATTAAGCTCTTTTTCACAAACATCAACTACACCCTTGGGTGAATGGAGCTATTTCTCATTTAACATTGCTTGGGGTAAACATTGAGCTCGTTGATACCGCAGTGTGCATTACTGTGCACCGTCAACCTTGAGGGATTATGCAGATACTTCAGCAATGCACCAAACCACCTGAAATGCGCCAAGTCTCGTCAAGCCTGAGCCTGGATATCGATTGAAGAGGTGATCAACATAAAGGTTATAGGTGGATGCAGGCACGGCTTAACATTCATCATTGCCCTGTATATTGCCTTCGATATTTTGGACTAGGTTTCTGCCTAATGTTCCAAAAAACTTACATTCATACAATCGATTTGACTACTCGGGTAAGGTATAAATAAATAGATTTAATAATCCAGTAGAGGGCACCCTTCTGTTAAAAGTACAGCGGTATATACTCTCTGAATGGGTTCCAGTGCCTGGATCCAGGATATTGACGCTGGCCATACCTTCAACCTTACAGCATCGTGAAAAATAAACATGACATGAATTTTTCTCACGGACAGCAATTTATGAAATACAAACATTTCAAATTAAGTCAATGTTAAGTATGCAAATGTATGTATATGCATGGATTATGTAACACTGTCCAACACGCATTGTCCTTGAAAGTATTGGTGAAAACATTCCAAACTGAACGAGCTGACGTCACAGTGCATGTCGTGAAACATCACAAGATTATGGTGCACTAAGTCGCATAACTTCCTTGGCCTACAAGAATAATCATTGTTAACCCTAGTTTTTTCTCCAAGTTTTGGGCAACCCTTTGATAATTTATACTGATCTTCTCTAGGTTAAGTTGTTTAAGAACAACATAATTACATTATTAAAAAAAAATCTTTATTGGATCATCTTCATAAGAGTTATGATGTGCCTCTACAGATGGACCACACCAATACATGAATGCTTTCAACCCGAGATGAAAAGCGTTTAAACAAAAGAGAGCAATGCCATGCTTACCTTGGCAGAGAAAACAATCTGCTTGGCCTGCCTGTGTGGCAGGAACTCAATCTGTTGCACCAGATCCTTGGGGTCAGCATTGGCCAGCATTGCCAGGGACTTAAAGCCAGCTTTATACAGCTGCCGGGCTCTGGCCTTCAAGACAAATTACATTTCAAAATCAGAATATTGTCACTGTATGAACATGTTGCCGTATAATTGATGTGGTGGCAGCATGTCCTTACCTCCTTCACACCAGCCACCTCCATGAGTGGAATTAATTCTGACTTCACACAGTAAGAGAGTTTTTGTGTGAGATCAGCAAACAGTAGTTGGTATGCCCAGAATTCGTCTAGTTCCTTCAGGGTAAAGACAAAGACTTCAGAAAGTCAGTTCACAATCATAACCAGATGAACACGATTAATATAAATGGGCTCTAAGATGCTGTGTCTAGTGATTTCGGACATTACCTGGCAAAAATGCACGATGCAGGAGGCAAAAGCTGCTGCAGACCCCACTAGGTTTTGAATGAAGCCACGATTTTGGCCAAACTTGGAGGCAACTTCCCACACTGATGTTTGTTTAAATAAAGCGTAGAGGACCAAAGCCAGGTAAAATCTGTTCACTACTCGCTCGTCCACCGTTTTCTGTAATACCCAAATGCAGAACAAAAATACAACGTTTCATATTCATTTCAAAAACAGACATTATTTTTAATTGTATGCTTTTCTTATACTTTTAAAACAGGTTATCTAACGTGTTCATGCTCTACTGTAAACAATACGCGGCACCGTACAATAGCTTTATGGCAGATATCATTACATCATTGACATTGTAAAGTAGATTTTTTTTATTTAAAGCTTTCATGACTGCAGGGATTCATATTCTTGGTTCTTTCGGTAAAGTCACGTAGAAGGGAAATAATACATTTATATTATTTATAATATATTTATTTTATTATTTCCTTCTTTCGGTAAAGTCGCGTAGAAGGGAAAAAGGGAAAAAAAAGTGTTTTTATTAATAATATATTTATATTTTTTTATTATTTCCCTTCTACGTGACTTTACCGAAAGAACCAAGAATATTGTAAAGTAGGTACAGACAATACGAAAATCTAAACCATTTAAATCTTTGGCTCAACAAAGTTGGTACCTGTCT